TTAAAGTATGATTTTCATGAATAAGGAGTAGCTAAATGGATGATGGAGGCCTGAGTCTAATATTGCTGTTTGCTCTTGTGTCACAAAGGCAATCTTAAGGCCATAAAGGGAGGCTAAAAGAAATAAAAATAGCAACACAAAAGACAAAATAACACTTTCAATAAGCTGGGACAAGATTGATCTGCCCTCTAATTTCATTTGTCTGCTGCATATTTGGCGGATTGGACAGGAGGGGCTAAACTAATAGCATTAATGAATGGTGGAGTGGTAGTTAGTAAACTAACTTACTCTGAATAATGTGTTTCTTACAGGGCCACTCGGGCCACGCGTGATGGATGGCCTTACAGAAGCCGGGTCAATTAGCCAGGCTGGGTTTCCCTCCATGTCGGCAGCAGACAGCACCGGGATGGCCTCCTCCTCCTCTGTCAGGCAGCCTGGCTGTAATTAATCACCACCGCGAGGCCTTCTCACCTCAGACCGCCGCGTGCACTCACAGCCAATACGCGCGTTTGGCCTACATTACATCCCACTGCTTTAATCTGGCTAATTGTCGATATGAAACACTGAGAAGAGGAAAGACCACGACATAAAAGATGTTTTTTTTTCTCTTTCCTCAGCAGATATGGTTCAGGGTAACAGCTTTGTTTCCAAGGTTAAGTCAGATTCATATTAGACAGGTTTACTTTATCTACAAAACAGACTCAATATACAAACAAAACACTAAAAAAACATATTGGTTACCCAAGGATAAATCAACAAAATCAACAACAGACTTTTATTTTAGGAGTGGAGGGGTAGTAAGGAGACTACTCAACCTACCCCTCTCCTATGGTCAACTTACCCCATACACAGGTAAATTGACCATAGGAGACCACTTTTTTTTGTCCTGCTATATTATCAGGATAGTTACGTTTGCACTCATTTTGTTGTTTTTGCAGGAATGAACAACATCTTGAAATATATATAGATACACTAGTTAGAGACAAAACTATGATTGACTTGATGTAGTGATCCAAAATATGAAAAACGGCGCATCTTACCCCACTCTCCCCTATAGTGGATGTGTGCACCTTACATTTACTTCACATAAGACCTATTTAAAAAAAAAAAAATCATAACCATAACTTTGTGCAACACACTAAGAATTGGGAATCAGTAACAGCATTATATACACACCAACATACAGTACATAGGCATAAAGAAGTCAACTGTATTTAACTTGCAATAAGATAAACAATATAAGCAATATAAACATATAAATGCAGTTAAAACAAAAGTTAGTATAAGTGATCTTTAATCAGCTGTAAGTCTGAGAAGGCTACTTTTATAAGCAAATTATGGATAATCAGAGTACTTTTCTGAAAGTTTTCAGACATTTACTCACCATGCTGCTATTTTACCCTTAGTTTTTATTGTTTTCTGTATATTAAATTAACATCATCATGCTGTGATCTGGAAACCAAGCAACGACATTTCATTGCAGAGAGAAATCACTGCTGTGTTTTATTCTGTGCAATGACAAATAAAGAAAGTTGAAGTCTAAGCCTACAGTATATTTATTTATGAAGTAAAAAATTATTCCTCATTTTACTCTCACTGTCTGCCCACTTTATTTGACCCAAAAACCCAGAGGGACCAGTACATACCTCAGTGTGGTTAGCTATAACACCAGCTTCAAACCAACAACCCTCTGACTCTGAGGCTGCAGTACTAACTATCACACCATGTGCTGCCGATCAGCGCTCACATACAGGTTTATGTGCTTTTTCTTAAAGTATGGTCACAGTTCAGTGAGCAGAATCCATCTTTTACATGGATTCAGACCTGCAACCTCTTAACAGCGAGACGTCTGTGCTAACCACCACACTCACATGTGGTTCTAGTGCCTACTTGTTCAGGTTGATCCACTTTACAGTTCATAACAACCACTCAAGAGCTTGCCCTATTCACTGGAGATAGAGAGCCAGAACATTAAAGCCTCACATGAGTGGACCAACCGGCAGGATTCAAACCTGCTCCCTGTGAGGCTTCAGTGACAACAATAATGTGCCACTTTGCTGGGTCCACTTGTTCAGGGTTATCTACTTTACTGCTCTTTTTTTGGTTACTAAAAACCTAAACAGAATTGATCAGCAGGACCGCATGTTACAGAGCCTTCATGTTCAGGTCATCTGTTCTTCCTTTTCTCTTAAATATCCTCAATTTCTTTCTGACAGGAGGACTTGAGTGTTTGACGTCAGATGAGTCCAACTTTGGAAAGTTTTAACTGTGTTTTCAGCAGGAGGGAGGGGGACCTTCCACATTTTGTGGATCAAGTTCAGAACCATGTTCATTTATTCTGAAAAACTTTCTTTCAAAAGGAAAAGTTTCAGAAAGGTTTCTGACTGCAGACAGAGTGAAGTTTACTAAAAGACTAGCTGCCTCATCATAACGTGTCGTATTGCTGTTTTGTTGTGTTTACTGTCATGCTTGTCCACATAAGAATAAGCCAACAGTCAACATTTTGTGATTAATGTCGTTGTAACTAACACAACATATACTCAGTGATGACAATGTGTACATGATAAAGTATGTAGGAGCCAAGATATATTCTGTTTAGGATATGGTTTCTAATAGGTACGTCACGTCCGGGGATCGTCCCTGAGGGGTGTGGTTTTGGGATGTTTGGCGCGTTATTCAAGTCTCACAGGTGTAGTCAGACATTGGGTTGTGGCAAGCTCTGATAATCATCGTTTTTCACTGTTTCACTCATCCTATTTTAACCTCATTTCAGCATTTGAAGGCAGAGTTCTGGACCTGGCTCAACGTGTTTTCTTTTCTTTTTAACACTCAAACCGGACTGATAATTAAATGAGTCACAGATGCAAGCAAACCTATACCCAAGCTGCCTTTTTTGTTGAAGGAAAGCAGTCGTAATAAAGTGGTTAAAAAACCGAACAAACTGTTTTTTCAATGACAAATGTAATGTTTGTGAAACTCATTGATGCATAATTACAAAATGATTTCTCTCCCTCCACATCTGACCCCATGAGGCGGTTACTCTGCTGATCTGTCTTTCTCTCTTTCACACACATGGGCATTAACATAGCACAGATTGAGAGGCAGGGACAGAGACGTCACCCTGTGTTCACAGAATTCACTCCTGTGCTCTGGACAAAAGCAGCAGTCTGACAGATGAGGACTGTGTCTGGGGGCAGGGGAGCTATGTGTTGCTGTATGTGTGTGTGTGTGTGCTTCTGCATATGTGCATGCATGCATGTCTGTGCATGTGTGAGCACCTATATGTGTATGTGCATGTGTGTATTTTGTTTGGGGGGGGTGGTCTCATGGGGCAGCTCTGTGTCTGTCCCATCTGCCACCCCACTCTACTGACACCCAGGGGAATGGCAGAGAGGGTGGGGGGATTCATTTTGCAAAAAGGAATCGGGGTCCAGTGGTCTAATGGGCAACAATACATGTTTTACTGAGGGGCCAAAGGCAAAGGACACCGGCTGGCTGTGTGAAGCCAATCTCGCAATCTATTTGACAAAACAGTGGGCCACCCTTGTCAAGCTCGGCCTCGGTCTGCCTAATAAGGCACGCACACCCCTGAAATTATGCCTCAAACGAGAAAGGGGTGCACTGTATTTTTATGCAGGCACAGACGCCACATACACCCAGGGCTAATGTCATCCTAATGCATGGCCGTGCTGTGGCCAGAGGGCTAATTGGGTATATAAACACAAACACATCCCCTGAGAGGCAGAGGGGCAGGCTATATTTTGTGCTATATGCTCCCTGCATTGTGAGGAGCAACATCCTGTAACTAAAACATGGAAGCTCATCAGCGCCTCCGCAGTATTGATAATGAACGATGACATGGTGTTTGCTCTCACTCATCCAGCCGCTGGATGCTCTTTTGAAGCTGCGCGTACAGTGTGATGCGGAGTGACTGGGTGGCAGGTGGCGTCTCATCCTGACTGTACTCAAAGACGGTAAAACGGCGCCACAAGAACAACAGCTACGATAGAACAGCCATGTGGAAGAGAAGCATATGGCTCTTGCACCACTGGGCAGAAGGAGCACTCAGCAAGATGAATGCTGAGGTGCTGGCAACAAAGCTGACTCTAACTTGTCAAATTAACAGCACATCAAAAGAGAGAGAGGAGAGATAAGAGGAGGAGGCGGAGGGAAAGAAGAGGAGGAGGAGGCAACAACATGAGGCCTTTTTTTGACGAGTGCCACTTGATGGTGACAAAGACAGCTCAGACAGGAACACCGACTTCCTGTTGAGGTCGGATCACAGAGAGCGCAGGCAGACGTTTGAAGTCCACATGTCTCTCACTGTCATCACGCTGAGTTGTTGGTAAACTGCTTGTCCATACGAGTCACAAATAAACACACACACACACACACACACACACACACACACTCACACACTCTCACTGGGTGCCACCCTGCCCCCTCACTGCTTTGAGCGCTATGTTAATGAAACAGTTGCTGTTTCCTGGCATAACATTAATTACCCGATCAAAATAGAGTGGGTAATTAACTGCCCTTCTTTACCAGTGCTAATTACATTAGTGGAGAGAAGGGCCATTTCAGGGGAGAAAAAGAGAGGAGAGAACGACAGGATGAAGAGCACCAAACAAAGACTTAGTCAGGCACATGTCGAACCGTGTGTGTGTGTGTGTGTGTTTTAAGAGAGAGGAGGAGGCCACATTGGAGGGAGACTCATGTGGTTCTTACTCGGGCCCCCAGAGGCTTGGTCCTCAGAGGAAAAAAGCAGGCTTATTGGAGAGGAGAGAGATGGGGGGATGTTGTTGTTTATCTTGACATGCTCTACTCAGTCTTTAACGCTCGCATCACAATTAAGATGCTGCGGCTCATCAGCTATGTATACAAAACTGTGTAGCAAGCTGCACGAGCACACAGGTGACGGGAACAGTCAAAAACAGATCCGGAAGAAAATCAGGTAATACAAGAACAAATGACAAGATCTCAAACATCTCAAACCAGCGTCACTGACTTTTTTGTTGTTTTATTTGGAGCACAAAATATAATTACACCTTAAGATATACAAACAACATTTGCACCATTTTTTGTACCGTTTAAAAACAAACAAAAAAAAACAAACATGGCTTCAACAACATAATATTAAAACTGGTAATAATTTTTAAATAAATAAAATTAACCAAACTTTAAAAAGGAAAATGTAAATGTCAGCTACTCTTTGTGTTTTCTTTGTTTTTTTTTACATCCTGAGAATGAAGTTTGTGTTGCGATGACAAAAATTCAGTTAGGAAGATGAGCATATTGATGTTGGTTGATGAACGCCTCGTACGCCCCGTTCTTTTCCACTGAGCAGCTTGTGCTTTCAGAGACTCTACTGCATAGTGACTGGAGACCTGTGCTTAGTTTGTTGAGACATTTAAAACAAAAACTGCAAAATCTATAAGTTGTAGTCATATAATGCAAAAATTTGCAAAGTGAAATGAACTAATACCAGGGCATTGGCGTGACAAAGCATGCATTTAAAGTGAAATTAAAAAGGATAAGGCTATCTAACATTTTTTCCTTTTGCAAAAACCTGATTTCCAAAGTATCAGAGCGAATCCCTGTGAACATTTAGCAAATTAATTAGCAATTGTTGAGATAACTTCATTCAGCCACAGTTGGAAAAGGACCACTTTATAAAAACACATTTATATTATTCCCTATACTAACTATAATAAGTTAAATTGCTTGTTCTTAAATAAATCAATATATGAATTCCTTTAGTAATAACCCTCGAGACAAAGAGTTCTCCCTTGTAAAACTGTAGAACAAAAAATAAAGGGTCTATTTTTCTGGAATGTAAATTGTCTTCAAAAAGTGAACTACAAAAAAAGCTCTTGCTAACTCACAGACAGTGAACACACATGCCATTAAGGTGTCCATACACAGACGAACAGCATCCTCGAAGCTGCAACATTATATAAGAACCGTCCTTCATCATCCGGCAGCTTCGAAATGATCACGTGACGCGGCGTCTTGAACGGCCAGATTTTGGAGCTCCACATACTGCATGTTCATAAGGATGCTTTGCTGCTCAAGTTTTTCTCTCATAATACAGACACTTCACCACAAACACAGCGGTATCCAGTCCGATCTGTTTCTGTGAAGCAGTGAAGTATTCTGCCCTGCCTCTGGAGGAGATGGCTGGTCTTTGGATTTGTTTTAAACCCCGTCCTGTTCACCCATCTGGATGAAAAAGGGACTAAGAAATGGCAAAGGAGGAAGAGCTCAGGAAGGAAGTTAAAACATGGTCGCTAGAGATCAATTTTCCGTCCTCCCCGCCCTCTTACTGCCAAAAAAGGGGGCTAAGTGAAGCAGTGGTCAGGGGGTAGATTGGGGTGGGTGCTTTGCTACATCGGGGGGACAACCAGGCCCGTCATCGCTGAAGAGAAAAAAAATATACAAAATCTATGATTCTAATCAGTCAGCTCTTACATTATTGTACATCCAGCAACGTTTTTCTGATGCGGTCAGGCAAAGCTTTGGAGTGGTTAGTAGAAGGAGATTAGACTGCATTCGTGAGTTCAGACAGGGGGGTCAGATAGTGAGTCGGATGGCTACCTCTGAAGCTGTTCCCCCCTGAGGCGGGGCAGGCAGGGGAGGGGGAGCCCTGGGGCCTGAGCACAGGAGCAAAAGCACTCTTCTGTTTAGCAGCAGACGGGAAGGAGGAAAAAGGCAAGAGAGACGAAGAGGAGCTGGAGCTTCCTGGGATAGTGGGGCTTGAGGGCATAACTGTGGAAGTGGGGGAAAACAATGTGCCACAAAAATGAGTATACAACAGAAGTTTGGAGATCATTTCAGAGAAACTTTGGGAGAATTTTTAGGGTCTTACTGTAGGGTGAGCCTGTGGGGGAGGCACTGCTGAAACCAGGAGATCCAGGTACTCCCAGGCTGGTCATGGGAACCGTCCCATAGCCTCCTGTCATCCCTCCGCCACCTCCGTAGCTGGATTGTTGGGGCGTGGAGGCTGATGGGTAACCTCTTGGAGACAAACTGCTGGAATTTCTGATATAACCTGAAGAACACATGAAGTTATTGTGTCAGTTCTGATCTTCAGGAATTGAACTGAATAAATATCCAGTAATTTCTGTCTCATCATGCTCACCTTGGCTGCTCTGTCCTGGTTCTCCGATGCTTACGCCTAACTGAGAGGGATAAGAGCCGAGACCCATGACACTGCCGTGTGCAGGTGAGCTGGGCAGCGCCTGCAGCTGGCTGTGAGGACGAGGAACGCTGTAGAGCGCTTCTGCGATGTCTGCCGCACGTTTCAGCAACATGTCCTGTGGGAGATACAACGACACAAATGTTAGCAAGACTGGTCTCTGAAATAGAAAAGTCCTGGTAAAGAACCCCGTAGGCTGTCAGCAGGTATACATATAAACAGGAAGAAACAGGCACTAGTCACTAGTCTCAACAAGTTAATTTCTTAAACATGTAGAAAACAAAAAGGAGATTCAAAAGTATGAGGCTAGTTAAGCAACTAAAACTAGCCTTTGTGTTGCTGTTTTGTTATGTTATTGTTCTGTTTTGTGGTAAGAATGTTGCTCAGTGACAGATTATTGGAGTAATTAGACGTTGAGTGAGGGGCAGCAATAAAATATGTAACTTCTTTCTGCTCCCTTCCAACCAAGGAATAAGAAATGTTGTGATTTGCCATAATATTGTCAAATTGTGAAATTGGCTTGACTGGAAAAAATAAATAAATATATAAAAAGAAAAAAGAAAGAAAGAAAGAAAGAAAGAAAGGAAGGAAGGAAGAAAGAAAGAAAGAAAGAAATAGAGAGAGAGAGAAAGAAAGAAAGACAAAAGAAAGAGAGAGAGAAAGAAAGAAAGAAAGAAATAGAGAGAGAGAGAGAAAGAAAGAAAGACAAAAGAAAGAGAGAGAGAAAGAAAGAAAGAAAAAAGAGAGAGAGAGAGAAAGAAAGAAAAACAAAAGAAAGAGAGAGAGAAAGAAAGAAAGAAAAAAGAGAGAAAGAAAGAAAGATAGACAGAAAGAAAGAAAAAAGAAAGAAAGAAAGAAAGAAAAGGAAAGCAAAAGAGAAAAAGAAAAAAGAAAGAAAGGAAGAAAAAGAAAGAAAGACTTATTCCTGTACTCTGTTTACTTTTTAGAACATTTTCTATCTTTCCTTTTGTACCTGATTACTGTGAGGATTTCCATACAGAGCCTCCACCAGGTCTGCTGCTCTCTTCAGGAGGATCTCCTACAAAGATCAGATTTAACATCTTAGGAAGAGTGAAACAAGCACAGCTGTGAAATCCAAACGTCTACTCCTGAAGAGTCATACCTTGGCGAGTTTCTCCGGGTCACCAGGATGTCGAGGAATAACCTTCTGAAGGCGCTGGAAACCGTAGTCTATAGTCGGCTCATTTAGGGCTGAATTTGAAAAAAAAAGATCACCGGTTAGAAGTCAGCGGGGTCACATGTGTGCACAATCTCTGCCTGTTGAACTTGTGATTTCTCAAAATCAACCAACATGTTGTCTGAATACCTGTGTAGATGAAGCGCCCCGGGGCTCCCTTACAGAACTGTTTAGATTTATAAGACAGTGTGACCTCCACCACGCCGGGGATATGTCGAGGAGGTGTCTGCACACGGATAGCGTGTGGTGTGATCAGCTGAGGAGAGGGACAGAAACCATGTCATAAAACTGCTCGGTGCATTGTAAATATTTAGGCTAACACAACACTGTGAGAGATGAATCTGTGTAGTCTGTCCATTAATCAGTGAAATAATGAGACAAGCCATGTGCTATTAATATCATCTCAAAAGAAGCTTCTCAGTGCAGCATCATTAGTGAGATGTTTGGGAGATTGTTCCTACCTCACTCCACACCAACATGCTGCCAAACACCACCTGCAGCCCGTCAAAGAAGTTCTCCCCGATGACGATGACCATGGCGCCCCCAGTGGTCCATCCCTCGCTGGGGCTGATGGCTTTGATACACGGGGTGGCTGCGCAGGAGAGCAAAGACAGAGTTACAGATAGAGCATTTTTTAAAGCTGTCTCAGGAGGAGCGTGGAGAAAGTTTGGTTCAGTAAGAGTGAAGCTTTGCAAAGACCAAAACTAAAAAGAGAAAAAGAATTGAAATCTACCACTTTTTCAGCTTCTTCAGGTTCGTAAAAATGAACTTGTTTATAATTCATAATGTTTTCAGTGTACTGTCTTATTCATCAAGTCTGCTCGGTAAGTTGGGCTCAGTGAGAGATTCATTCACTGAACGTTTAGAAGAACTTTTTATTTTGATTGAAAGACTTTCAGTGTTTTTTTCTTTTTAATGATTTTGAAAACAGCAAATTGTAAAAACTAGAGAAGCAATGAAATGACAATAAAATGACTTTATTTATGCTAAGTGGATAAAGAATTCACACTGAACAAGTACCGTTCCCTCACAAACCCCTGCGATGATAGCATTTGGCAGTAAAAAGAAAAATAATAATTTTTTTGTCCGACAAAGATGACTCCAGAGAGAGCAGTTCAATGCTTGATTCGTTCACCGAGTGATTCAGGCGTTGGTGTATGCTGCGTGCTTTAGCAGCTGCACTGCTGACAGCTCAACTGAAGTGAGAAATGAACAAATCGTTTGGGGAAGTGATTCGGTTCAGTATGTTCACTCAAAAGATTCGATTCTTCTGAACGAATCGTTCGCGAACGACACAACACTACCTGGAATCGATATATTTTCTAAAGAGATGAGACGCAGAGACACAGGAGCAGTGGTGGAAAATGTAGAGCAACCCTTGAAGTAAATATTTGAATTTTGTTTTCATGTGATTGTTTTGACTTCTCTAAATATTATTCAGCAATGTTACAGATGTCAAGTAACCAGTAACAGCTGTCAACATTCAACAGTTTATCTGATAAATTAACACTTATTTTTAAATTTTTAATCCTCATTAAACCAAGTTAAATCCTTCTCTTCACTGCACAGATCATTGTGTGTTTTTCTTGAAAACAGACTGAAAATAGATGTAACTTAGTATTAAATTTAGTTCTCTTTTTAAGATGAGATGTGACTATCATCTAATCTGTGCGAGAGGAAAAGTATTTAATGAAAACATCAATTGGCTCAGCTAATGACCTCAACACTGCTTATGTTTGATATATCATGGCGATTATCTCTGGACATTAAACATCTCAAGTACCTGCTAAAATGATTTGTTCCTTGGATCAGTTTGTGTATAATGTTTTCCAGTGTGAGAGATGAAAATGACGTGTAATAAAGTAAGAAAAGACGAATGGGGTGTGACACTGTTGTTTCACTGCCTCCTCACCATACTCCATCGTATTCTCCACAGACTCTCCTGGCTCCAACCTGCGGGCTCGGCGGCCGTGTTTGGAGTTGTTGTGGACGAACATGTTGTCAGACACGGCGAGGACGTGGCCGTCTACGCTCACAGTGCTGGACAGGACCACCTGAAAGAAACAAAGGAAGAAACATGAGTGTGTGCGCTCGGCTGAGACAGCTCGCTGTGAGCTACAATCTCCGATTTCAACGGCAAAGTCCCCGGGTAACAGTTTGTATCCGCGTACAGGTGAAAGTAATAACTCTTGATAGGTAATGCGACATTGCGGGGTTTTTATCATATGTCTGCATTCTGGCGATGACACTGCTCATACACCCCTCCGCTCCTCCATCAGGGCTCCATATGGCCTCTAACTTTTTGATTCATACAGCATGCAGTGGGCTCATCATTGTCTCCTCCTGATCCTTCAATGACACCAAACATATGGAGCAAATCTCCCACGTTAGCCAGCCGTTAAAGCAGTGCATGATATATAGTGGCCTTAATTTGATTTTCTGGCCACAGCATGTGTGTGTCCCTTCCCACATTTGCCTCACGTGGATGACACACACAAATAATTAATGATCGGATACTTGCAGGTTTTTGAAAGCGGATATTTACGGGTGTTAAACCCTTTTCTTGATCTGATTTGTTTTTACAAGGATGGGTGTTGGTAAAGAAAAGGTCATTGTCAAGATAACCATAAATGTTTCACATGTATTTTTGGAGAAATTAACTGCAGAGCTAAAACTCCAGCGCTCCCTTGAAAGTAAACACATGGCAATGATTTTGCAGGTGAAAGAGCATAAGAAAGAAGAGGACAAGAAGCATATGTGCTGTAGGTGGTGGAGAAGGAGGGGAAGCCAAAGGAAAATAACTGTAAATTATCGATCAAGCAGCAGACTCCTGTCCGGCTCTGATCACCTTTTGACCCAGAGATGAGAGTGTTGGAGCGCTCGGCGTGCTCATAACTTCTCAACATGTGTCATGTCGTAGGAGTTAAAGCAAACATGGAGGAAGGCAGAGGGAGCACGGAGCAAGAGGAAGGGACCGAGGGGTTTTTGCTGGGAGAAAATGGGGAATGCCAGACGGGGGCCGCTGGTGCTGAAAGACGGCAGAGGAAGTGAGGCGGGAGCGTCCCCTGTGACCACTTCCTGGGTCACAGAGCATGACCCGCTCCATCTGGAGCCAATCACTCAATTCTTGACAACTTCCTGAAACACCTCAACCTATTTCCTGCACCCCAGCACCCCAACGACAGAGTCTCCCACATATCAAGCTCCTTTTCGTTTGTCTTTCCGTCTCTCTGACTCTTCATTGATTTTTAACTTTCACCTCTCACTCCCTTCTCTTTGTCTTACCCTGGAAAAACTTTTCCACATCGCTCTTAGTCGTGAACTGTACTTGAAAAGACACTTAATTATCATTCTACTCTATTTTAAAGGGACTGTTTGCATGAAGAGATATTATGTCCCACATGTCACCTCCATCTCTCTCTTTCTTTTTTTTTGCACACATATGCATTTCAACCCGTTCTTTCTCATACCTGAAATCTCCTCATATCCCTCGGGTTTCCTGCCGTCTTCAGACAATTCTGGTTACACTTCAGGAAAAACTTCAAGAAAAACCTGCAGAGGTAAAGAAGAGGACACATGTTTGTACATCAGCAAATAAGAAGGCACGTGAAAGAATCATGTATATGATTATCTGCTACTCTGCAACAACACGCTGACAGTCAAAGGAGGCAGTCATTATTTTTAGAGACAGGTGAGGTGTGTGTGTGTGTGTGTGTGTGTGTGCGGGCGCTGATTCTTCACATCCCCATGATTACAGCTGTGACATCAATCCCAGCTGTTTAGTGTAGTATTAAAGTCAATGTTATTACACTTTAAATCAAGTGATGAGAATTTGAAGCACAGTCCAGTGAAAGCGCTGCTGCGTTTCAAAGTAAACTGGAGACAGTGATGTATGCTGGAGGGACTCAGGGGACCGAGGTATCCTGCAATGCCGCATTTGAACCCCCACATGGGAATGGAGAGGGAGCGAAGTAGAGACAACTACAGAGAAAGTGAAACGAGGAGGAGGTGGAAGGAAGTGATGGAGGCACAGGCGCTGGTATGGACATGAATTTTGTTTTCAAGTATATGTGTCTCATTATGTATGTGAGTGTACTTTGGAGGGTGAGAGGCTGCTGAGACTGACAGAAGCAGGGAGAGAGAGAGGGTGCTGATAGCCTCTGCTACACCAAAGAAAAACCTGAGAGAGGGGTGGAATAAATAGGAGAGATGGAGACTATGGAGAGAGGGAGAGAGACTCCAAATCCCAGGTGTACACGGTTCGGCAACACGGCCCGCTGCCATGGCAACGCAGCTTTGCCGCAATCCCAAAGTCCCCATGCTGAGAGGCAAAAGACAGGGATGGGAAAGAGAAGGAAACAACAAGAACACATTCCTTCACTGAAACAGCGAGCGGAGAAACTCGTTGAGGTGAGATGCAGAGAATAAAAGAGGGCAGGTGCAGACAAGATCCACAGACAAGATCCACAGACGACTCTCACAGAGGAAGAAGAGTGTTAAAACAAAAGTGATAGGAGCCTGGAAGTGACGCAGAGAGCACTGTGATATAATCACCGCGCTCTGAAACAAATATGTCCCTAAAACCAGATGTCCAGAGCACACCTTCAACTCTGTCTGTGTGTCTGTGTGTCTGGTGACAACACACATCCATTAACGTTCACATTAAACAAACAACAACAGTGCAGAAGAAAAATGCTACAGAGGACGGCGGCGGTTTTCCAGGGCTACACGGTCAGCGCCAATCCCACCCACAATGCACTCTCTGCAAATATAAGTCATGTTAATGGAGAGAGCTTGTTTGGAGAGCAACTTCATATTGGCCCCTCAGCCCTGAACCCTCCCATCGAATACTAATCTCTCCCTCATTCTGTCAGCGTTTCCTCGCTATTCTTCCATCACTCGCTCCAGCTTCCTCCCATGTGAACAGGGCCCGGTTTGAAACCAGCGCTCAGTTCCAGCAGTGTGTCCAATATTTCTTGATTTGAGATATTTTGTTGGAGGACAATCAATATTGTTGTTGGCAAAGAGGGGTTATAATTTATCAGCGAAAGTTCGGACCTCCAACCTCAAAGCTGCACTAGACTTCAAGTTATGGGTGGAAACATGTAAAAGGGCACATCTGCATGTCTCCAACTTCTTCATACCACTTCTTTTGTCATCGTAGTCTTTCGAAAACTGTTACATTTATACATTATTTAAATAAAATTACACGTTACATATAAAAGGAAAGTTATTCAGTTTGTTTCCCATCTCTGAAGTGGGACCAAAAGTGTCCCGTTTCATTTTATTACCTCTGGTTCGAGCTCGACTGTCGGTAAGTTTTATGCCATGCGATGATTCTTACATTATGGCTCATTTTAAAAGGCTGTATCTGTCATTTATAAAGAGGTAAGTCCGGGCAGGGACCACATTTTTGGTTTTAATAACCAGGTCCATGTCAGCCCGTGGTTTAGCCACATTAGCCTCAACGGCGCAGCCCTGTCAGCCACGTAACGTTCATCCTCGCAGCAGTCATCCTTCATTTAACTGACTGACGTGATAAAAGTTGCGCTGATGCCTCAGATAGTGAAATCACATCCCTAATTGAGAGCTTGTCTCTGTCCATCTCAGGCTTTGTGCTCCCTCTGAGGGTTCTTGACCTTGTTTGTTGACTTTTTCTCATCATTCCCTGTTTGTTTGACACCGGAGGCCTCACACACACACACACACAGAAAACACACACATCCACATGCATGTATGCACACTCTAATATGCCGACACCCCCCACCTTTGCCCCCCTCCCAAAAAACCCATTGAGTCAACTTTTCACCCCCCTCAGTTTGGACGCACACAGCTGCAAATGCTGAAATTAAAGCGAGACATTGACGCATATATTAGCATGCATTAGCCGCTTCCCCCTGCCCACTTAACATGCAAATCTCCCAGCCCCGTCGCCTCGCACCTTCTGCCACACATTCATTTGCTGAATTATAATTAGACTAATCTTGCATAATTAATAAGAAGTCGAGGACCCTCTGTTTTTTATCCCCTCCTCTATTGTGGTTGCAAAAGTTTAATATTGGTGTTGTTTGTTTTTGTTTGGGTAATGTAATACACCCACACACCTCCCCATGCAGAGCAGGAGATGAGGAGAACATGCAGAGAAATGGAGGTGATCTTCATGTCACGGGGAAATTACAGAGAAAAGGCTATTTTCAAAGAGCTACAATAGTGTTTTTGTGTATTTACAGTCTTCTTTACATTCACAGAATATTCAACAAAGCAGAGTAAAATGACGACAGTTTGTTTAAAACGCTGCTGACGTCAAAATCAAAGAGTAAATAAAGCTGAAGGAATAAAACTGTGATGCACACAAATTATGATTTATTAAGATTTGCTCCATAATGATGATTTATGCAATTAAAAAATATCTTTCTAACAAACGCAAGCTTCTGGATTATTTTCGTTTTCTTTCAGTGACAAATTTGGATTAAATTTGACAAAGTTCACTGTAACTGGAAATGGAAACCAAGTTTTATCCTCCACCACATCTCCCCTCCACAGACTCACTTAAAACAGGAAACACAAACAAAACATAGACCCCAAGTCTTAAACCTTGGGATCATTTTCCACTGAGGCACCACAGGGAGTCTGTTTTTTCTTCTCTGTCCTCACTTCTGCATCTCTGTCAAGGCCCCTGCTCCCTTTTGTCTGCATCTGCTTCAGTTCCCAAGACTGAACACAGGCCTCGCAGCGTGAGGCGCCCATCCGAACGGTGACAACTTGCTTAGCAAAAATCTCATTCAGCGACCAATCAGCAAGTCACGACAATAAAAACAATAGAAGAAATCCAGATTTTGTAAATATTTCCCTCCTCGGCGTGGACTCCAGTTTCACATTTCTAACTCCTCCTGAGCATCTGTTACACATAAGTGTTACACACTCTACTTTACATATGGCCTTAATCATGCAGAGAGCACCTTAGCAGCACAGGACCCTCCACAAAAATGTTCATAGGCATTCATCAGCACTAATCACTGTTGACATAAACTGCCTTTTCACATAGACATAAAACACGTCGCCCTCTGTGCTCATTGTAAATGAAGGTTTACTGGTAGCAGCCGCTCTTCAAGTATCTGATGCAAAAGGCTTTAACACCGGGTTCAAGTTGGTTTCCATCACAGCTTGAAAACTTTCTCCATTTGCCTATTTTTTAAGGGAGGGGGGCTCTTTCTTTCTGGATGCTGGAGCAAAAATGAAAAATTTATGCTTTAATGCAAAAGTATGTAAGGGAAAATATGAAGGTAAAGAATGAGGAGGAGGAGGAGGCTGTAAATTTTGACCAGCATATGTGGATGCCCTGCTGCTCCGACAGAAGGAAAATGTATAAGAGGAGAAGGAGGCGATGACACAAAAGGAGTCAAATCTCTAATTCTTTTTTAATTGTGGGAAATTAAAAGAAGGAGAGACAATGGAGGACAGGATGAGAAGAGAAGACGGAGCTGGAGAGGAAGAGAATGTTGATGTCCTGTATTCAGGGCCATCACTCATCAGAGTCCCCCCACCCACCCTGAAAAAACAAAACAGTGTCCTGACATCGCGGTGGAGGAGAGCTGAGGGGAGGGAGGAAAATTAGGAAACCAGATGTGAGGCATTAAAACATACTGACATGCAGAGGGCCTTCCTCTGCCACACTCACACACTGAGAGCACTAACTCATGCAGCAGGCCCAGATGTATGCATGTATGCAAGCGAATGTCACACACTGGACACACAAGGAACACACACACACACACACACACACATTCATGCTAAAACTCAGGAGGAAGTGAAGAGGAATGAATCCTGACCCAACTTTAAATATTAAAACACAAAAAGTAAACAGACTAGGGCTGGGCGATACGGCAAAAAGTTTATCACAATATATTTTTTCATATCAGTCGATATTAATATATATCACAATATAAGAAATGAAGTTTACCAGTACTTATTGGCAGCATGTCTTCTGCAATATAATAAGCTGCTTCATCTGTGAGGTCTCTGTGTCTCTTTGACGTTTTGTCGTAAGGCGTTGCGTGAGAGAAAGCAGACTGAATGGTCGGCTGTTTTGGCTGCACAGGCGCCATGGGCTCCCTGCTCTGCTCGGGGTTTGTGACCTTTTGCGTTGCGCATGCTCTGCAGCGTGGCGCTGCTTCAGGTGGTGAAAAAGATTTGAGGTATTCCCCGACTTTGTGGGAACATGTACTCAACATAATTTGCACGTTACTCTGCTTCATTTCTGACCTCAAAAAACTAAAATACCTCCACACCACCGACGTTTTTGTGCCAGTGAATGTCATCTTTCTGCATTCTTCATTTTCAGTGCTGTCGGCTTCACATGTTTAAGTGCTATGGTTGCGTGTAGCTCTGCAGTTGTTTGCTACTTGGTTCTAATTCAGCACGAAGCGGACCCGGAGCAACTTCCCTAAAGCATATTGACCATGTTTTATATTGATATTGAGGGGAAATTTTCATTTTCGTTTTATCGCCCAGCCCTAAAACAGACCTTAAAAGAGGCTGAATTAAAAACAAATATTTATAATTCATATGTTGGTTAATTTTTAAGACACCGTGTGAATAAAAGCGGTCAAAAACACGCTGCAGCCTGTGGTTATACATGCTTGGATTTGGATAAACCAGTGTTGACCTAAGAATATTCCAGAAATCCACAGATGGGTCGTCATGCGTCAGTGTATGGATATGTGTCTAATTAGTACATGTACCCAGGCTGAGGAAGGGGTGAGGGGGTGAGGGGGGCTGGAGTTGTTTTGTTTTCCTCCATTGGGAGAGCCGTGTTTGGGGGATGGAGCGGGGAGGTGAGGGAGGGGGGCAGTAATAAATACCCCTGGACTCAGGTCCCCTGGCAGACTGGAAGCTAGACTGGTCACCAGGGTTAACACCCGGGGCACATGACCTTTGACACTGCTAATGGGGCACAGAAAACCCTCCACGAACTGATACCCCCTCAGTCACATACCACCACAGGACCTTTCACACCAGCCTGCACCCCCACCCACCTCCACCCCCTTTTCTAAAACATACAGGATATCTGTGGCATCAGCTTCTCTCTCCCCCCTCCAGCTAATGTCACAGAGCCAAACCGACTTCATGTTGGGCATTAATAAAACAGCTGATTCACCAGATATCGCTCTGTTAGCAGATGGCTGGTCACTACATCAGCCAGTGACACCTCCACTTCTTCAAACGACGTCTAACAACCACCAGCTCAAAGTTACAGTTTTCTTAAAAAGACGGATTAACAAAATGAGTGCTGATGTTTCTGAAATATGTGACAGATGTAAGATAACAAAGGGCGCTCTCGGTGACGCTTTGATTGCCTTGTTATGCTCTGAAGCTTCTATTATGTTACCACATGCTTGTGCGGCAGACCTTCATGGTTTGTTAGTGGATGAGAGAATTATTGTTGAAGATTGGGAGGCTCCTTGTTGCTCTAGATGAGCTCTGAAGTTAGTGTCAGGATACATCTTGAAGGCTCTGTAGTCTCCTGCACTAGTTGACAGTGAAATTTGAAAGAGCCCAGTTTTCACACATATTAATTAGTATTGATGTTGATTTAAGTGCACTATTCTTTGCCATGTGCTGTATTCAGGCTGACGTTTTGAAGCGTTTATAACAATTATGTCTGACTTTGTGAGGTTGCCTTCTGCTTTGTTTTGCTTGTATCTTGTGTTGTCGTTTTATTTTTCACTGTGAGGTAACTGTGTCTGTCAGTTTTGTGGTTGTATTGTACTCAGAGTGATTAAAAAAATACAAGAGAGAAGAAAGAAGTAAAAACAGCAGCATCACTTCCAATATTTGATTCAGAAAGCTCAAAACCTCAAAAAATCAATGATCAACTTTTCTCAAAGTGACAAAACGCGGCTAAGGACAACATGATTCAAACCATAAAGAGGAGTCTTGTATGACGGAGTATTAGGGCAAAAGAGGAGCAAGATCCTGTCCTGCAATCCAGGCAACAGCAAGTGCAGATCAGTACAAAGTTAAATCAGAATGTAGCAGAGGTGAATGTAGCAACTAAATTTATTGCAATGGTAAACTTCTTTTTAGAAGTAATAAAATACTAATAAAGTGCTGAAATTTAGTAAAAGTTTTACCATAACTTCATAGTAGTGGTCGCTTACGCTGGCTGCCACCAGATATAAAACTAGGATGAGGGGAAGTTTTTTTATTATTATTATTATTATCTTTTTTTTTAATTTAATTTTTTATTTTTATGTTATTATTTTTTACTATCTTTAATTTCTTTGATTTAATTTAATTCTATTTATTTTTTATGTATTCTATTTTATTTATTTATTAAATTTTTTTTGAGGGGAAGTAGCGCACTGCCAACGAGCTTGTTGAAGCCTTCTGACAGATGACTAAGCACTTTTTAAATTAATGCTGATGAAAAATCTGAAACCAAAATAAAGCAGGAGTTTGTTCCCGCTCGGGTTATTTGTCTCCGACACATTTATACTTCCTAACCATTCTTTTAACGGTTTTCATTCATCTCCAATTTACAAACCACCAGAAGTAGAGTTCTTCGAATTAAAGTTTCATAGTTTCACCACACAGGAAATAAAGTCAACGAAACTGAAGCTTGAGAAAATATCAAAATAAAAGCACGAACAGAAATAGAGGTTTTCGTCAACAACAATAATGAGGTGAAACTCTGTTATTGTGTTCACAGTGTTTACTAAGGCTTTGTCACTTTGTCTTACCATTACCATCGATTAAAATAATCCCTTTAATATGAATTATTACTGATAACAACAAAAAGTGAAATGAAATGTTTAGTAAATGTAAATTTGTCTTGCAAGTATGCCATGAAAGTGTCACCTAAAAATGTGGTTATTTGGTAAAACATCTGTGAATCAATCAAATCGTCTTTAAATAACCACTTAATATCAAATTGTTTGTTTCTTTTGTTTGTCACAAGAGAAATCATGTTAAGTGAAGATCCCTCTGCTTCACTACCAGGTTTTGCACACCCTTTAAAGACTGTCATTCACATATCCATGTACTCACTACATCATTCCTGATACATTATATTAAAAACTTTAATTTGCTTTTATTTGGTGTTGTCGGATTTTTTTAAAATACATTTTTCTTAAAATATCAAATATGTTGTTATGTTTTAAATGTGATAATTTAACTCTTAAATTAGTTTATAAATCCAGTAATTCCTGTTTAGCTGTCACATAAGTTTAGGGTTTAAAAAATATGAACCATATTTAAAATCCCCCCCTCTCTGGATGGATTTAAGTGAAAGTATAAAGTCGCAGAAAATGGAAAGTGAAGCACAAACGGGACTTTTTAAGACAATATTTGTTTTTATGGAGCTTGTTATCTGACCTCAAGGCACCGAGTGATAAAATACTGTGACAGTATGTTTGCTTAGATTAACAGATTAATAGTTTTATTTTCCCCATTCTTTAATATGATAGCTATTGAGTTAAATAATAATTCAGACCACTTCAAAATAAATTAAAGGGAAAATATTTCTTCCCTCTGAAGCAAAGCCAAGTACAACACATGTGGGCTATACTTGGGGCTAACTCAGCTGATATAATTGCAGGATGTCAGAAGTCTCTAATATCCAGTCGTATTGATCAGAGGTGAAAGAATCAGTCCGTAAACTGACTCCAGGTATTCTCCGACAGACAGCCAGCACATGTGAGACATCAGCTCCTTATAAATTCTCCTGCTGGTTTGGTTCTGTGCCCCTCTCGGCCTCTACTCTCCTACCTCTGTTGCCTCCCAGGCTGGTTTCACCCCTACAACCTCCGCCCCGGCCCACCCCGCCTCTAAACCTGAGAACTGTGACAAAGCTAAACATTTAAACCACTAGCGCTGATTTATAGAGCTTGGTAGCGCAGTAAAAGCTTCAGTCCTGACACCGCTAAAGTGAGTGAGCTGGGGGGAAAAATGGGGCTGAGAGGAGGAAAGTGGGATGATGGGAAGCGTACACAAGAGGCACTAGAGTGTCTCAACGAGCTTTCTCCTGGGTGCAAAAGTGTTTTACCGCCCAGCCTCACATTGCTAGCTGCTAAATGTGCATTTCAACAATTTCAAATGAATGAATTTTTCAGTCTCCCAAGCTTAGCCGAAAGCATAGATTGCATACTAAGCTGGGCCACATGGGACAGCGGTCAGCCTGCCAAATAGATGGATATGGGGAGATATTCAAAGTCTGGAGAACATGAATTCACAACCAGGACAGGGAATAGAAGTCCCATCAGTGGCCTCACCTCTCCCAGCATGCTCAGCGCCTCCTGAGGGACGAGGATTCAAATATACTCTCAACTGTCAGCCGAGGATGGAGTGCATCCTACAGGGGAGTAGATTTCAAACAAACCAGGGGTCATCTGCAATACACCAGAACTCCTCTTCGTTTCTCAATACTCTTTCAATCAGTCACTAATCAGATTTATCAATGACGCCGCCGAATCAAAGCTCGACCTGAAACCTTTCGCAGAGAGGAACAGTGACTGTAGGATGGATGGCACCGAGAGGGAGAGGAGAGGCAACAACAGAAGGAGAAGAGATGTCTTCTTAATTAGCCAGTAATGATAAGATCTGACAAACAACATCTGTTTCCAGAAAGAGAGAGAGAGAGAGAGACGGCAGGGAGGGAGGAGGGAGAGCAAAGAGGGGAGAGAGAGGCAGGGAAGGAGGGAGGACGAGAGACAGAAGTAGAAGAGAAACCTGTGAAGCCGAGACAACAGGGACCTGCTTGTAAGAAAGTAAACGGGGGGAGCGGAGAGAATGTGTAAGGGAGAGAGAGCCGTGTAGCGTGACACAATAGAAGAAACGGAGGATGAGAAGTCTAACAGAAGTGAGAGGAGAAAGACAGAAAGGGGAGAGAAATCTGACAGGGTTGAGGGAGGCAAGGAGCTAGGACGAGTATGACAGACAGAAGTGAGGGAGACGGATCAAAACGAGAGAAAAAGGAGGGAGACGGACAGATAGACGAGGAGAGAAGGTGAGCTGGGTAATGGTGCTGCAGGGAGAGAAGAAGGAGGAGGAGGAGGAGGAGGAGGAGAACGTGTGAAGAGATGGGAATGGAATCACTCAGAGGTCCAGGGTGCTGTAATTTACTGTCCGTGGCTAATACACAGCAAATGTGAGGAGCCGAGGATGAGGAGAAGGAGAAGAGAAGGGGAGCCGGGTGATGGGGGGGCTTCAGGGAGGGCACACAGACTGTTGGAGCTCTCAGCAGGCCTGCTGGGAGCCTGTCAGCAGTCACATCACCCCCTGCCCTCAGCCCTGACGGATTCATCAGGACTATTACACAAACACACACTGAAACACACACATGGATATGCATGTATGCAAAAGACTGTAAAGACGCTGCAGTCGTTCGATCTCTCTTCTCGTTTCATCAGAAAGTTTCATTTCTCTTAAATTTGCTGCATCTCATGGCATAAAAAACTGTTGAAAGTGGGTAAAAAAAACACACTCTATTAGAAATCATGGGTTGAAGAAGGATTATTTATATTGGAGATGTTTTTGAGGGAAATGATTTTATGACTTTTGTCCAACTGGTAACTAAACACAGAATCCCCAAACAAGACTTTTGGAAATATTTGCAGTTAAGAATCTGTAAATTGTCTGTACAACGAAAACTCCCCCTGCTACCTCAAACAGAGTTAGAAAAACTAGTACAGAATAACCAAGGGGTTTGGGGCGGTGCATCTAGATTTTACCGTCTTATGAGACAATCCCACCCACCAAAACTTGATGCTATCAAGAGAGCATGGGAAGAGGATCTACAGGGCGAGATGGAGAAATGGGAGGAAATAACTAGATCCTGGAATAGAACATCTAGAGAGATAAAGACCAGTCTGATTACATATAAAATCATCCATAGGCTTTATTGGACTCTTATAAAATGACGAGATTGAAGTTGTGTGAATCTGATGGAAAATATAATATTATCCAGGATAGATCTACCTCGGAGCCCCACCCTTTGTATTTTGGGCATAATAATAGAGGGAACAGAGTTATCACTCTCGCAAACTCTTTATGGTGTAGACTGGCCCTTACTACCAGGCGTAGGATTACTCTAAGACACTGAAAACAAGAAATATTACACAATTTAATGAATGGTTGGAAGAAATGAATAAAATAGCCTGCTACGAAGAACTAATTTTTATGATTGAACAATAAAAAGGAGATTTTCATCAAACTACGGAGTCCCCACATGAGATTTGAGCGAGATGGATGAGTAGAGGAGGAGTTCTGATGTGGACGGGCGCTGTATCTTGTGTGGGACAGAAGTCTGATTTGTTGTGGGGCGGTGACTGGGGAGTAAAGAAGAATACTAGAGGTGTTAACCCTGTGTATGTAGATATATGTTATTATTATTATTATTATTATTTTCATTTGTTGCATCTCCTCCATAAAGACATGGAAAGAGCCGTGTAAAGATCGAAAACTGAACTCTAAATGGTTTTCTCTCACTCTCTAACAGAAGTAGATGCTCTCTGAAATGCAGATCTATTGTATCCTCATCTTGTTTTTTCTCACAGTGTTTCTTGAGCACAAGCCAAAAGGAAGACTTAATCTAATTTACAAAGAAATACAGCACATGTGTAAATATTAGTGTTAGCAAATGTTTAAAAAGTGGACGGGTGGAGAATTTTTAGACGAATGTAACTCCTGTGAGAAATACAATCCACCCAGACCCCCAGATAAACAGACAAACAAACTTACAAGGTGGCCAGAGGGCCGGAGCGGCACCAGGGGGCATTGTTAAGTCATTAGTGAAATTTAAGGAGGGGGTGACCGATAACACACACACATATACACACAGATACACACACAGACATGCAGCTCCACCCACAGAGGCAGCATCCAGCCAAAGAAAACAACCCTTGTTCCTAAATACCATCGCTAACTGGCCTCTGACTCCACGCCCACACTCACACATAGACACGCAAACACAAGATCCTCGCTGCACTGATTCAGGACTTCCTCGCAAATAAAAAGACCAGTACAGAGATTTCACATGAACAATAAACCCACTGACAACTGTATCTGAACATCCCACCCCATACAGCTCACTTACTCTTGATTTGAAGACCCTCTAAATCACGCTAATCTGCCCCTTTCTGATCCTCTAAGTGCCCCTACTTAATCTCTACACCGCTCAACCAAAGGTGAACCCCATTAGAGCCCAGACAAATGGTAGGGCTCGCCCCAGCTACTCCAGGAGAGCGAGGCCTTTTAGAGCGCCATTCAGCTGCAACTCAAAACTTCTAATTCCCCCCACCGCCCTCCTCAAAGAGCCCCCCTGCTGCCCCCCCATTAGCCCATTGCTAGTCCAATCCTATTTCCTGTCAAAACATTTCTTGGCTGTCCTCTGTTTTCGACTGCCCCCCCATCCTCTGTAGGCTCCCTTAAAGAAAACAAACCAGGCCTACTCCTCGTGTCAGGGTTCAAGCCACAACAGCCAACACAGGCCGGAGCCGAGCAAAGGTGACCGAACACAAACTAGGCTCATAACCCACCACTCATTACACACTTCCTGTGTACGCTGGAGTCCCGGATGTTCCTCGTTCACATGAGACTACATCGCAGAAAAGGTCCCTGAACTCATTTTCCTCGGTGTAACTCAGAGTGAGGCTCCTCTCGCAGTACCTGTCAGTGGATTTGATATTCTAGACATCGCATCGTCTCTCCCTGTCTGTCTTCATGTCAGTCTCCCTCTCGCGATGCCCCCAGGGAGGAGCCATCCCCGCGGTCCGGTGCCAGCTGCTCAGTGGTCCAGCCTGTGTGCCGTGGTGTGCACTGGAGCCTCAGGGCCCTGTCGCCACGCTGCCTGGCCTCCCCCTGCCTGAGGGGCTCGCTGACAGGGGGTCTGGTGGGACTGGACAGTACGCGTCCACCAGGGAGAGAGACCTGTGACAGCGGACCGAGGGGACCGCTGTGTTTGACTTAGTCTGTGTGCGTGTATGTGTGCGTGACGGACAGGTATTTTATGCACACATATTAATAAGTGCGTCAGTTTGCTGTGCGGTCTACCATCACTGTGACCTGGACTGGTGATACGACGGGTCCTGAAATTTCATGTCGTGTCGTGCGCAAGGCAAATAAAACTCCTGTAACAGGACATACAGCTGCAGTGACAGAACGACAAGAGGTGCAACAGATGTGAAGATTTTTTAAAAAAAATAGAAAGAGAAAAGTATTCCCTATTATAGAAACTCGAGAGGTGTGACTTTTCCAACCCCATCTGCAGCTCTTTCTCTGGCCAGGAGCTGCCTCCACATCCTTTTAGTAAGTTTGGTTAAAAGTAGGGGAGAGAGTACGGTGGCCCAGAACAGCCACTGCTGCAAATTTAAAAAAGCACAATGGAAGTCACTGATGCAAAAAAAAAAAAGACGAAGAAAAAAGTAACCGAAGCCCACTGCAAATAAAAAAAGAAATGGTGCAGATTACAAGCCACAATGGAAGTTGACGAGAAAAAAAAAAGTGGCAATGCAAAAAAAAAGTAACTTACTGAGAAAATAAAAGGATGCAAATTAAAAAAAGCCACATCGGAAGTGAGCTGCCAGGGACCAATTATGATGATGCACCGGTGTTTTACGCACACAGGCACAGAAGACGACGGCGAAAAGACGAGCAAAGAAGTAAGTGGAAAGGTTGTTGTTTAATTTCGCTTCATAAACTTTTCGATGTGTCATTTGGTTAGGCCATGTAGCGCCTAAGTCCATATGAAGTTGATCTGGAGGATGCCAGTGTCGTGTTCGCTTCATTTCAATTTCATATCAACTCAAAGCGCTACATTGAAAAGTTTACGAAGCAAAATTAAACAATAACCTTTCCACTAACTTCTTTGCTTGTCTTCTCACCGTCGTGTTCTGTGCCTAGATCGTAAAACACCGGTGCACCGTCATTATGATGCATTTTTATTCCGATCATGCATTTATTCCGATTATTTGTGCCCATGTAAACGCAGCTATTGTTCATAAATAACTTGTGCAGATATCGAGTCTTGAACATTTTATCTTACACATGCACACAGATTTTTCGTGCAGTAAAACTGTACCCTTCTTTTTTACAGTTCTTTACGGATTAACACTGTCTGGACAGTTTGACAATAAACTATTCAGATGTCATTTGTTGCTGTATGTAAATGTCTCAGAGAGCCGTCTGACCATCTGTTTCTATGTTACTCCATCCACCTGCTCGAGCCTGCCCGTCTTAAACAAATTTAAAGAAATAACACGCTGCGGGCCACTTCCCCCTGCTCTTCTGAATGTCTTTTTCACTACAGGCCGGATAGTTCCTCCTCCTTATACTGCTAATGGCGGGGAACACCAGCCTCCTTCTGCTTCGGCTTAAACAGAAAAGAAAATAGAAAGTCTTTGGGAAAAGAACATTAAACTATCAGCCAAAGAATAAATGCAGTAACATTTGTTGGACTGTGTCAGGGGTCGAATTCCTCCCCTCTCCCTGAAGCATACTCAAGCACTGCAGCCAAGTTGCCCTGTTAGGTCATTATATATGAGAGTTTTATGTGCGAGACAACAATGTCACTTCAGGAGATTGTTTCTCAGACTCCCAGTTAAGGTTTCTCTTTTAGCTGTAAGATGCTCGTCCTGACTGATACTGGCACGCTGTACCTGCACTGCCTCTATGTCTGAAGGTCTGAAATGGGAGCTGTTAATTTTCCTCCTGGTTTCATTTTTATTTCTTAAGATTAGGAATAGGGTGGGACGAATACTCAGTAAGAAGGAGTGTTTGTGATCAGCAGCTGAGAGAAAGGCGATTACATGTTCTCTGATGATAACTCTTGTGGGTCGCTCTCTACGGTGGCCAAGAACCGCCGCTGCTGCAAATAAAACAAGAGTGGAAAAAAAAAGGTCACAACGGAAAAGAAACTGAAGCACGCTGCAAACAAAAAAAGAAACGGCGCAGATAAAAAAGCCACAACCGAAGTTAATGACGAAAAAAAAAAAAGTGGTGATGCAAAAAATTTTTTAAAAAGTTACTGACTGCGAAGACCGAGTCAGGTAAGAGTGTCACGGTTGGAATAAGTGTTTTTACATGGAGGCGTTTCGGAATAACGATCGGCATAAACACCCCTCCCAATCGGAATACAATTTCTTTCCGATTGAGCCGAATCGGATCAGAATCTTCCGATCGACATGTTTACATGACGCTCAATTTTTTCTAATCTGAAAAAAGCTTGGTGCATGATCGGATTATTCAATTTCGCACCTACATAAACAGTGGATTCAGATCATCCAATCCCTCAAATTTTTAATCAGATCAAGAAATTTCACCCATGTAGACGTGGTTAGTATCTAGAAATATAAACATTACCGAGTGTGGAGCTAAAACACCCTCCACTCATCGATTAGGACGGAGAAAACAGCAGATCCCTGCACTGACTAGTTGGAAACATAGCTGTGGTACAAGCACATAACTAGAACCAGGACTACAAACAGATCAATACAACCCACAACCTGAGATTAAGAGTAATGGATTCCTCTTGAAGACAAGCATCTGAAATCGAGCTATAGCCCGTGACAACTCTTCATCATGTAAATAACAGAATGATAAACTCATAGACCAAACTTTGTTAGAGTAGAGCTTTAGAAACAGGGTCAGTATTAAAAAATGATGATATGCAGGAGGATGTTTTAACCTCTGAGAGCTTATTTTGAGTCCAGGGGAGGGAACCGTATTGACAAGATTGGAAAATTCTCATTGATTATTCCTCTTTTCTCTGAGCGCCCGCTTGTTAAAAAAGACCCCTCTTGGAAACAGGATCAATTAGTGAGATAGTGCTTGCCATTGATCACCCCCCCACCCCCCCCTTTCATGGACTCTTGCCTTACGATGGATCCCTCCACACACTCCTCATGACCAACTATTGATCCCAGCGTCTTAGCCAAATATAAAAGCACACACACACACACACGCTGAGACGGCCCCCTTTTCCATCTCAAACACCACGGTCTAATACTAATACTGACATCTGCTTGTCTCCATTGTAAAGCCATGGTTCACTCATAAATACAGGGGCCAGCTTTGGCCCAGAACCAATATAGTTTTTCAGGGGTCAGGGGTCAGCTGGCCAATAATCCTGCCATTAACAGATCTGCCTGGGTTAATACCGAGAAGAATTCAGAGGAAACCTGTAAGGAGTCAAAGAAAACAAGACTGATGAAGCAGCCAGCTGATTGTGGAGAAATAGAGAAATATCAAGCAGTGAGAAACAGTAACATGTCTATTTTGGCTTCATAAATCAACAATATCAATCCATTTTCAATATCTGTTCAATTATTTTCTTCACAATTCTCAAACTACTTTCCCGACAGTTAATGTTGGAAAAAAAGGAAAAAAAGCGCCAAATTAGAGAAGAAGTCAAAACAGTGACTGAGTTAAGGAAGATTTATGATGATGAGCCCTTAGGAATCAATCTATCTATCTATCTATTGATCAATCATCTAACCAATCACTGGACAAGCCTCCTCATCATTCAAAGATAAGAAGCTCTCCAAACAGAGGAGTCACATCAGCGCTGTGAGCGCGGCGGTTCACCCAAAGTTAAGATGAGATAATTGTGAAACTATTAGACACAGCAGGGAGCGGGCGTTAGATAATTCTCCCCCTGAAGAGTCATCTCTTTGTCAACGACTGCCCTTGCCCTCTTCATTCCCCGGCCCCCTCCACCCTCCATCCCCTGCACCCCTCCCTATGGATCAGCTGTGATCTCCTCTCTCCCCTTTCACTCAAATCAGGATTAGGGAGAAGAGGAGGCGGAGGAGGGGTGGTGTGTGCAGCAGCAGCAGCAGGAGAAGGGGGAGAAAAAACTGAAACAATATGGAAAGGAGATTAGAAAAGTGGGGGTTTGGGACGTTCGGGGAATTGCAAACTCCCTTGTGCTTGGGTAGGTGTCCTAATGACACCGCCTAATTATGGCAAAATTAGACAGGCTAAAGGGAGGGAGGGGGCGGGAGCTGCTGGTGGTGGAGGAGACGGTAAGGTGGAGAAAATGGGAAGAAGAGCAGAGGAATTAAGCTATGTGGAGAGAAGAAGTCAGGAAGACAAGAGGGGAAAAAGAGGTAGGGAGCGCAGAAGAGGAAGAAGAGATGGGAGGCGAGGAGGGGAGCAAGGGAGCATAAGGCGGAGAGAGAAAGGAGAAAAGGAGGAAGAAAAGGGGTAGAGAGCGAGAGGAGCGAGTGGGCCCCAGCACGCTGCATGTTAATTGGAGAACAGGTGTTGGGGCTGGGAGCAGGAGGCTGATTACTGGAGCCACAGAAACAGACCGTCTCCTCCAAACACACACTCACACACACACACACACACACATGAATAATTTAAGACCTAAGCAGTGTAGAGAAAAAGGTCAAAGCAGGGGTCACAGAGACACATAGACGATTGCGCATACATCCACATACATGCGTAAATAAACGTGCAAGGATCTCTACGCGCACGTTAAAATATATGACGACAAATAGTGTGTGTGCGCGCTCTGAACGTACACAAAAAGCGCGTCCTTCCATTTCTTTGGCTCTTTCGGTTCGAGTTTGTGCAGCGGAGAAGATAATGTGCGCTGAAGGTGGGATGAAAGGGCACAGGCCAACGCCAAATTTCATTGGCTTATCAGAAATTAACTGTTTGCTAATAGGCCGCTCCCCGAGGAGAGGATTTCACAGGCCAGTCAGAAGAGAGGAGCCCCAATCAGGAGGGGATGTGCGCGGCGTGATTAGAGAGTACAGTAGGTCAACACACACGAACACACACACACAAGGAGATATAGATCGCTCCTCTCCTCTGTAAGCTACTTACAAACAAATTTGGAGGAGGTTTGGCCATGTTAGGAGGAAGTATGAAAGCAGCGCCGAGGGGGTTATTGAGGAAGTAATGTGCAACAGTAAACGAGAAAAACAGCTGCTCTAAGGTATTCTGGGAAAATTTTCAAAAGACAACAGCCCGATTTTTCCGTTATATGAAAACTATCTTCAGCAGAGATCCTCTGAGACACACTGTCAACAGTCAGCCAGCTCGAACTGAGGAGGGGAGAGAAAAGGGTCCTTGACGTATATGAAGTGAGTGTTTCGAGACAGGCAATCCGAGGAAAGGAAGAAAGGAAGGAAGGAGGGAAAGGGAAAGAGGAGACGAAGGTTGCATTCATGACATCACAGAGAAAGTATTTCACATGCGGTCTGCTTATGAGCATTCATCACACTGGTTAATGCCAGGCAGACAGTGTGAGACCTCCCAAAATCCCCCGAACGTGAAGGCCCTCACACACGCCGATTATGGCGGTGGTCATCCTCCTTCAAGCCCGATGATAACTGGCTGTCAGGGTGAACATTTACTACATATGTGAGCCAGTCTGCCGGGATGAAAGATCCACATGCTTCTGATGAAGGAGAATCTGTGCTTCGAGCAGGTTTCAGGTGCAGCAGCAGCAGGGTCTGGACTGCTGAAGGCAATGAGTGACCAAAACGAAACAGATCTCAGCAGCAGCAGGGCGAAGAAAGAAACAAAGAGAGGAAGAGTGCGCAAAGACCTGGACCCTAAACTTTATATTACAGCCTTCCTCGCAGACCCTTAAGAGGTGTTTATACATCTGCATAAACACACCGCCAATTAGGGCTGGACGATATGGTTTCGAATCAATATCATGATATATTGAGCAGTTCACCTCGATAACCATAAATGGACGATAACTACTCCACAAGCTGCTCACCCCCTCTCACATTAACTTCGTCTACTTCAGCCGCTACAACTTTTGAACCGTCCTCCATCTCCTCACCTGTCTTTCCCTCTTTGTTACGGACTGGATGGGGCGGAGTCACAACTCAGACATAGGACAGAGTCTTAGGGGGACATGAGACCATAACCTAACCTACCTACACACATCCAAAACCAACTTTTATTTATTTATTTTGACACCGAATATACTGATATGTCGGTTATTGTCATAAATTTCGGTATCAGTAAATTTTCAGTTAATCGCCCAGCCCTACCGCCAAAACATGCATCATTGAGTCTGTGCTCACTGAGAGAGTAAATATGAGAAGACCTGAATGCAGCAGGTAACAGGTGCGTGAAAAAACAACTACTGTTCAGTCTGTGCTTTTAAGCTCCGAAATTCGTCAAGTTAATTTTATGATTTGATCTTTTTTAAAGTAACATCTAAACATATTTTCCTCATTCATCATGTGCAGTCTGGCAATTCATTCCTCATTTATCCCACTAACTTATCCCCCATTGCACACATTCACCCTCTGACAGCACCTACTGCATCGCTTCTCCACTTTGTAAATATTTCTTGTAGGAGCCAAAATATATTTTGTCGAGGATGTGATTTCTAATTGGTACGTCACTTCCGGGGATCGACACTGAGGGGTGTGGTTTTGGGATGTTTGGCGGATTATTTAAATCTCACTGGTGTAGTCAGACATTGGGTTGTTGACCGTTTCACTCACCCTGTTTTAACCTCATTTCATCATATCACTTTTTTATCTGGAGGCAAAAGTTTTGGACCTGGATTAATGTGTTTTCTCTACTTTTTAACACTCAAACTGGACTAAACCCCAGCGTCCTTTTTGGTTGACTTTGTAATACTTTTGCATCCTTATTTTATTGTATTCTTCTTCGTACTTATGTGTGTTATTTGTACTTCTTTGGGTCGAGCGGTTCTTCTTATCCAGGGCATTTCATTGCATTGTTGACGATGTTTAACCTTTATATGACCAATAAACCAATCTCTCTCTCGCTCTCTCTCTCTCTTTCTCTTTAGGCTGATTTTCCACATGCTCTGATTGCTGCATAAGGGGGAAAGAAAAGACGACTCCAAAAGTCCGTGCTCGACGGGAGCCCCTCAAAAATAGCGCTGAACATTTGTGGTAGAAAAGTGAGAAGGCCTGGCGTGATGTTTTCTCATGAAGCCCAAAAATCCCCGATGGAGTCCCTGCCTGCCTTTCCGAGGAACAACAAACTCGAGTACTCCTCTTTTTTAGCCTCAAACACCACATCTGTTCAGTGAGATCCCAGCACAAGAGGGTTTCAGTTCACACCATGACTGCTCTGTTTGTGTGCATATGCAACAATGAATTGTGTCGTATGAAGAGGTGTGTGTCTGAGGTGATGGACTCTGTACAAGACGGGGTTTGACCTCATTACCTGTCGATGATGACGGGGTCAGATGGCGTCTCATTTCTGTTGCCGCAACTTTTCTTCTCACAGCAGCGGCTGAGTGGACAGAGAAGAGGATAAAAAAGTTAGTAAAGGAGGAAAAAAAAAAAACAAATTAAACAGGAGGAGCCATCTTTCTTCGTCTGGCCCATCTACATCCACAGGCCCAGACTGCTCTGCTCCACAGTCGGCGGAGATCCAGCAGCACACAAAGGAGGCATGAGAGGGGAGGGGAGGAAGACACAAAAGAATAAAAGAGGAAGAAAAGGTACAACAACACACCCTACAAACAGTGAGAGACCATTCACAAGTGAAAAGCCAGCCAGGCAATCTGTCACATTGATTTCGAAATCAAACTCAACCCCCACGCCGTTTCACTGCGCACCCACACCGACCACCACATCCTACCATTCGTCAGCAGTCCTGTCCGAGGAGCCTGCTGGCCGGCCCCCCCTTCCCCAAAGTCCCCTTCACTGCATAACAAAAGTGCCCCCACCCCTAGCCATCTGCCACCCCTACACCTCGCCTCACCCCTCTCGTGTCCCAGCTTGGCCCTGCCCTGCCCCCCTCCACCCCCCTGTCAGACGGCCTCACTCCCCAGCTGTGACGCTTGCCCTCTGCCTCCTCGGCTCTGTTATTAGCCAGCTGTGAGTCACATTTGGGCATCTGCTAGCTACACAATGGCGAACCCGAACTCTGTTTCAGCCCCTCTCCCCAGGTCCTGGACCCATCCTTCCCCCCATGCTGCCCCTTAAATCCTGGGTCACCGCCTTACTTCAGGACCGGTCTCTTCAGCTTCTTCTCCATCCAGATTCCTCGTCTTTATTCACCATATTCTGACTCCAAAAACTCGCCTTACTATCAAAACAACTGGATAAAACATTGTCAAATTAAAACTACACTTGTCATCACATGTGGACTCGGTTCTGAGTGGATAATTTAGCCAAACAGACGATCTGGAGTTACGTTTTCATTAAGAAGGAAGAAAGTGAATCGATTCCCTAAAATGCATCTGCGTTCTGAAACAGGAGCCGGCCAGGGACCTGCTGCGTTACAGCAGAAAGCAGCAGGGGGTTGCCACACTTACAAGGATGATGACAGTCAGGCTAGACTTACTTTTTAACCACAGTCTAGAGTTTTAGAGAAAGCAGAGCCTAAAGCATCGTCCCAAAACCACATTTCAGGCTGAATGAGACGGAGCTGAGTGAGAGAGAGTGATGGGTATTTAGATTTCATCCCTGAGGGTGGAAGTTCTGTGTGTTTAAGACTCACCTGCACATAACCTCGTGTGTGAGCAGGACTCTGCACATTTCGGGGTTCTTGTTTTGGCCCTCATACGATATAGGCTGAGAGGAGGAAATGAGGAGCAATGGGACAGATTTAGTTTCATATAGCTCTGATTAGAGTTTAACTTTCATAGCTGCAGGACATTTACACCTCGAGAAGTTCCTGAAAAAGTTCACCAACCTGTTTAGTGACAGAGTCGATAAGTCGTGCGTAGAGATCCTGCTCCGTTCGGACGCCTGGAAGACAAAAACACAAGAAATTGGAAAATATAAACTCACATTTTTACAGAGAAGGAGTAAATTCATGCAGATTCTGTCAACCATGATAATAAAGTACTGCAAATAAGAAACTAAAACCTCTGAATGTACTTCATAAAAAAGTACAGGCTGCTCAGGACTCTCAAAATAAAACAGAAAGATTTACGACATTAATATTTTTTATCGCAAACTCTGCTCTCGCTCTCAGAAGGATCATTGAACTCCGTCCAGCCAACATGGAGGACGAAGATTGGCATGTGGTTCGTATTTCTCCCTGATGATTTCTGGGAGGATTGGGAATGATCCGATGTTTGATGATTATTAGTCACGTCCTGCTTCAGGGCCAAAATTTACAGCCGCATTCTCACGATTTGTCAGGCGGCTCTTCCTCGGGTGGGTCTCTTTTCACTTCTGAATAATCTCAACTTTAATCTCTAACACACCAACAGGTAGAAAAGTAAAAGACTGATCCTCTCTTCTTCTTTTTTTTATCAGATCTGTATTTAAGGGAGATGTTTTCACAGCTTTACACACTTCAAATCTTCACCTGAGATGTAAAAACGGCGTGTAATGAGTCGCTTCTTGAGAGACGAGTGCATTACCCGAGGATTTTTGTTATACGGAGACTTGAGAGAGTATTGCTTTTAAAACGTGTTCCTCTCATCAAAGTCTCGATTGAGATGCCTTTGATATTGCTCGGGGGAAGAGGATGAGAGGAGGGGATGTAGAGGAAGTGCTTGTGGTGCGCTCGCATGTACGAGTGTGTGTGTGGAGACTGTATTAGGGGAATGCTCTGGAACATGTCTTTTATCTTCTCTCCCATGGGTGCCACTGCGATGGCAGAGTAGGGGCAGCAGTGGCTCATGGGAACCGAGTTTCTGTGTATCCCCCCTGATCTGATGTGGGAGCACCATGGGGGGCTGGAGGAGTTGGGAAGGAGGGGGAAGGAGGGGAAGCTGGGTTAGGGTGGCAGTATGTATTATATCTCTTCATACATGGGCAGCAGAGTTTGCCTTGAATTGCGATCAGACAAAGAGAGGGAGGTCATCTCTGAGCTCAGGAGAGGATGTAGAAGAAGATTAGTTAAGCGTAAAGGTGTGTGTCATGTCACAGGCGACCTTTTCAACTCCTCTTACATGCCTTAGAGGGGCTGCCTGAATGATAAAATTAGACCCTCAGAATCTCACTTTAATCTGGGACCTCCACTCACCGTTGCTGTAGAGGAGCTGCAGCTTGTAATGTGTGCCGTTGTTGGTCTTTTCTCCCGTCTGCTCCTTGGAAAGAGAGGACAGAAACACACACACACACACAGGGGGACATGCAGTTAAGCACATTTGGGCTCAGATAAGTACAGCAGAGCATCCGTGAGTTTCCCCCCCAATAATCCTGCGGCTCTCCTGCTCCTCTGCGTGGAGATCAGAGGGTTGTAAGCTCAGAGCTCATGTGGGACCTTTGAGCCGAGCGCTTAACCTTCAGAGGGATCTCCTTTTGTAGAGTTTGACCTATCATGTCTGATACAAACTCCTAAAACCTTAAGATCAAATGCTCCCCGCTAAGAGGTAGCACAGGCGGAGATATATGTGCATGTGTGTGCGCGCAAAGTGGGAAGAACTGTATGTGAGACCGAGCCGCACTCGACCTTGACAGAAAAACTTCCTTTCCGCTCTCCTCCCCCCCCCAAGGCTCTCCACTAGCCTCTCACTTCTTCTCTTCTCTTGTTCCTTCTCTTTCTCTACCTCCACTGGTCTTTCTAAGTGGTCTCAAAGGAATGCTCTCTGGTCCAATAACCCAGGAGGCTGGCATCACACAGACGAGAGCGAGCGAAGAGGAAGAGGAGGAGGAGGAGGAGGAGAGGGAGCAAGGAGGTCGAGGAAGTGGAGAAAGTAGGGAAGAGGAGACAGTTGAGCTTAAAGAAGAGGAAGAAGAAGTAAAGAAGTGAAGAAGAAGAAGAAGGGGGAATTAAGATGCAGGGAGATAAGTTGGGAAGCACCCGAGCTCAAAAGTTAATATCAAAAGTGAGATTGAGACGGGAGATAGATGTCTGCCTGGCTTCATAAGCTTTGTAAATATACACAGAGGAACATTTATTTCACCATGCCATCGCTCTACCTCTGCTTAATTACAGAGCAGAAACAGATGCCAGGGTAACCATGCAGAAAATGAACTTCTCCACCGCCGTCATGTTGCTCCACGCTGGCCTGTGTGGCAGCTCTCTGACAACTCACAGCCCTGGCATTAGCACCCTCCACTCCCTCTCTCCGTCCATGAAATCTAAAGTAAAACTATGTTTGAACTGTTGACAGGACGCTGTCCTCTGTTTCCAGTTCGGGAGATCCTCGCTCCCCTCACCACACGGCAGAAACATCCATCAACACGGGGCATAAGGCCTCCAGTCCCCCCTCTACGGTCTCTCTCTAAGTCTGCGTTCCTTATTTTGGTCTTGTCCAACCTGAGGAATCCAGCCTCCCCCCCTCTCTTCCTCTGCAGATTTTAGAGTATGTATGTAAGAGGGAGGGGGGTATGAAGGAAAAGAGACTTTGATGATTAGTTCACTGTATAACTTAACAGGAGCAAGCATCATTTGCATTTTTCAAAAAGTAGTGATGTCCTCCTAATGAGGCAAGCTGCTAATTAGTCATTAGATATTCTTTTTCAATCCCACATCATCAGCTCATGGAGGGAGAGCTGTGTAAACATGAAGCCGTCAGCTGTTCGATATGCTCGGCTTTACTTGGAAAAATCAAGCAAAGCACCTGGATCTAAAATTAAAGCATCACTGATTTATTCTGCGAGTTTTCGACGCCGTGATCAAGCTGCAGTTTGGCTTTAGGGGGGGGACAGTGATTACAAGATGGTTCACTGATGAGATCTTTCAATAATCATCAGTACAGGTCAGCTCAGAAACAGTCACACACCTTGTCGTGCTCCACAAAGTCGACAAACGCCGTCCTCTCGACCTCCACAGGTTGCCCGTGGCGGTCGTAGAGCGCCAGCACAAAGTGAAAGAAGTTGGACTTGCGGAGATTGGAGGGCGGCTGCTTCTCAAAGTGAGCTCTGGACAGAGCGACTCCACTGAAGAGACACAAGAGGAGAGGAGGAGAGACACGATCAGATCACAAACATTTCAGACATTTACACTCAGTTTAATAAATATGCAGATTAAAGTTCATCAAATTCTCAAATCAATTAAATCTAATATATCAATTTATTTATGGATGTTAAAGTAAAACTGAAGACTGGAAACATTTTGTCAACTTAAAGTAAATCATGAAAACAACCTTAATTTTCATTTGATTTTCACTTCTTTGAATTATTTTACATATAATCTAACATATTAATAATTTAACATCAAAACAGTTTTTATTTTCTGTAATGAAGGTTTTTACTTCTTTTTGGTGATTATCAATAATTTACACAAAAAGACCAATTACAAGTTTTCAATAGATTTAGGTTTTTGTGAGTTAAAAATTACAAATAAAAAAGCAAAAATGAAATAAAGTTTTAAAAATCTGGACTTGAAAAGAAGAAAAATGATCACCTCTGATTTTATCATGTTGGTGAAAATTCATTAAACCAAATTAATGTATTTAACCTTAAAGTTTGATCAGTCATGTTATGAAAGGAGATAATTAACTCAAGATTCTCATAGAAAATATCAACATTTTTTAAACAATAATTGTTTTCTTTTATATTTTCACTTTATAAACATTTTGCATTTTTTCTTTCAATTCAACTTTGATCAAAAATCTGTGTTTCCTTTGAACAACACCATAACAAAGCTAATTAAAATCAGAGATGAGTTTCTAAATAATTCAGGATTAAAATTTTGAGAAAACAGAAACTTTCTTTAAACGTGTCTGACCTTAAATCCTGTAAACTCTGCTCTGCTGCTGTCCTACTGTCTCTGGTGGTTATTTCAATGTATGTTAATGAAAACAGGTAAAACACTTTAGCAAAAACTCTTTTCTCTTTGAAACAACTCTGCGTTTTCATTTCTTATTTCCCACTTTGGACGCAGTTAGTCCGAGAGAAGAGGCGTGTGAAGAGGAGAAAATGTGAAAAAAAAAAAGACGAACCAGTGGAGAAATTATTAGAAACGATCTGAGATATTAAAGGGAAAAATTAAATAATGAGAGATTTTGTAATTAAAAGAGTGGAAGTGTAATTAAAAATGAGTCACTAGTTTATAATCAATTCATGTCAGGAAAGTTTCTGCTCTGAGATTTTGTACAAGATTTTCTTACAGATATACAAATTGTGAAAAATGTCATTAGTAGTTTGTGTTGGCTGAATTTTTAGGATTGGCATCTTTCAGGAGTGATATTTGATATATTTCCCTGACTTGTGTTTAACTTAACGGTGAATTTTGTGGTTGTTAGTTTTGCGTATTGACAATAAAAGGCCTGTTTTCCTCTCGTGGAAATGATCGATAACTCTCTTTAAGAGTTGATTTTTACATGAGAAAGAGTCACGAGTTGTTTTATTTGTATTTGAAGGTATTTTCTAAGAGTTTAGGATAATGTGTTTCTGACTGCTTTTGCAACAAGTAGTGTGTGTGTGAGTGTGTGTCTCCTCTCGTTATTTGGATATTCTCCTGTATTAAACTGTCCTCTGCTCATCGGGCTGATTATGTAAATAAATTCTGACTCCTGACAGAGGCCTGATTTCAAGAACACAGACGATATCAAAGTGGTTGATACTGTACCTTTGCGCCGCTACGTTCGCATCCACAACGCCGACGTTACGCACCCAGGACCGGACTGGATCCATCTCTTCTCCAAGGTTTCTCTCCTTTAATCCGCTCACTTCTCGTATCAGATGCTCCTGGATTCCGAACATTTAAGCCTCGCCCTGCTCTCTTCGGTTTACTTTTCTGAACTTCGGAGGGGAAAAAAAGAAACAAGAGTTGAAGAGGCTTGAGCACTTTTGCGAACAACAGGAAGGTCCACTCCAAGATGCAGCGCTGCTCCTCCGCGGATTTCACTGAAGCTTCACCGACGCTGCGTGATGTTTCAGAGGACTTCTCGGTTACAATCCACTCATACTTTCTCTAAAGGCTGAAAAGATGGAAATAGACGCACTCCACCACTAATTGCAAGCATTGTCCACGCGCAGACCTCCGGATCTCCACACGCGTAAATGGTCACCTGCTGTGGGGGGGTCTTAACTCCTCACGCAGTGCAGCGCGAGTCCGCCTCTGATAAAATACTTGTGGTTTCTGTGTGTGTGAGGAAAAGTCTCTCTCTATCTAGCAGAGGGCCGGGTCGGGTCCAAACAGTTAATCCGAGGGCCGGGAAGCTCGCAGTGAGCCGCTGACTTGAAGCATGAATGAGACCCTCTGCCGGGATAGCGCGTGGAGGAGGGGCCTCAGGGCCATATGGGGGACCGATTGTTAGAAATGGATGCTCTCATTGGTGTAAAGTGCATCCGTTGTTTGGACAACTGCCAGATTCAGCATCCAACCAGTGATTGTGATTGAAAACTTTAGGTTTCAAGTTGGAGCAGGATGAGAAGAGACTGCAAACTATGTGTGAGCGTGTACAGTCTTTAAGCAAGAAACAGACTTTGTATATCGTGATATTTGTAAATGATGAATTATCTTTAAGTGTGGAGGGGGAGAGGGGGTGCTTTTCAATCAATAGTAGTGAGTGTTTTTTATCTTAGACGTTAAAGAAGTAAAGAAACACATGAAAAGAGTTTCATTACAGCATTTTTGTCTCCTCTGAACGTTTAATAAAAGCCACTGAGTGTGTAAATGGTGGGGGTATGAGAAAAAAATCGATTCTTTGTGCGATTTTTTGTTTTACATTATTTAAATTTAAGAATAACTCTAAAAAACTGACTTACATGTGATGTGTTTTTATGGGGAAATATGGTTACTGGAATAGTCAGTAGACAAAATAATCATTCAACTATTTCACTGGTGTTAAAAATGCGCACTAAATATCGAGAAAATCGACAATATCGCAATCAAAATCCAAAAAATCGTAGAAGAATCGAATCGGGGGAAAAGCGTATCATCCCAGCCCTAGTATATTGTCCTGTATACACTGGTCTACTGCTGCCCTGAATGGTCTGTAACAGCAAATCCTGTTTAGTCTATTCATTCGAGTCAAAACCCAACACAAGTGCGCTCTCGACAGGCGCGCATTCAGCAGCTCGACCGTCTGCTGCTTTGAAGGCGGTGATTCCGCTGAGGAGGCATCGCATCACTGTCAGCTGGAACAATGGCCGTCTGGTTGGTCCATCAATCTTCTGCAAGCGGAGGGACGAGGCTGCGCTCTGATTGGCGTTTGGAGCGCAGCCTGACACTGTCCCAAATTAGTCCTTAATCAATACGCAAGAAAACTGGTCAAGAAAGCCTCTGGATAACAGGAAATGTTGTAGAAGAAACATTTAAGCACTCTCTGAAAGTTTCCCCAGCTTCTAATAATTTCCCCAAGACATTTAGTCGTTTTTTTAACATTTTAAATCCCTAGTTTTTACATCACATATAGGGTTACAAACATCAAGAGCATAAATAGCCCCTTTTTGTATTTTTAGGCCATAAAACTGAAAGCATCAGCAGCCCTCAGAGCTTTTCTTTCCAGACCAAAAATTAATTTCCGCCTCTTTTCGTCTGGCCCTGAAAAGGAAAGTTGTTTTTTTTTTCTTTAGCCCCGGGTCCTTGCCCCTCACCGATACCATTGTTTCTGTGTGGAGTTTGTGCACCCGGACAATGGATGTAAATCTCCCCCCTTTGGATACCGCCTCAGCCCACCATCTGCCAGCGCAGGACAAAGTCAGATGTTCCCCCAATTATGAGCGCAATCTTGGGGAATCCAGCAACCGAGTCTCCGCCCTGTCGGCAGGTCCCTCACACACTTCCCCCTGAAATGATTGACAGCTTCACTTAAGACATAAAAAAAATCCATAAAGGGAGATCACACACTTAAATAAAATTCCCCCAGTCAGTGGAAAACTCCCAGGTGGATGTTGAAACAGAGGAAGAAGCACTATTTTAAAAGCAAAGCTGGTATTGTGTCCTTTTTTCCTGTCTTGTTCACAACATAAATATGCAGCCAGTAATCGATTTTGTTGCAATAACTCGATTAATCGACTTAGGCTCGTCGAAAATCAAACCGGAAATTTTAAGACTCAAAATTCTAGGCCCCAGGTGCAGCACAAAGAGCTCTGAGTTGGCACAAAGCCAGTGTTTAGTGGTTTTATATGTTTATCAAATACATATTATTGTATGGAGTCATCCATGCCGATCAAACAGGTTTCTGATGTCCTAGATATAGAGAAGTAAACATGCCCTATATGCCCCAGTCTTTGAACTTATTTCCCTGTTACTGGTTCAAATACTAATTCATTTTTTCAGAATTTGTCTAAACAAAACACATAATCTTAAATTAGAGCTCCCAACCTTTATTTAGCACAGTTATTTGTTGACTAATAACAAACCTAATTGGTCATTTTGGATCGTTATGGTCTCAGTGTGTTATCAAGTTCAAGCTGAACATGTGTGTTAAAGTAGAGAGCAGACAAGTTCACAGAAAAATCCTCATTGAGTCCAATGTTTAGTGGTTTTGTTTTGTTTATCAAATACATATTATTGTATGGAGTCATCCATGCCGATCGAACAGGTTTCTGATGTCCTAGATATGGAGAAGTAAACGTGCCCTATACGCCCCAGTCTTTGACCTTATTTCCCAGTTACTAGTTCAAACACTTATATATTTATTCAGAATTTGTCTAAACAAATTACATAATCTTATATCTAATAATCTAATCTTTATTTAGCCCGGTTATTTGTTGACTGATGACAAACCTAATCGGCCATTTCGGATCATTTTTTGTGTTATCGGGTTCAAGCTGAACATGTGTGTTACAGCAGAAAACATAAAAGTTCACAGAAAAATCCTCATTGAGTCTGAATATTTTCTGGTTCGCAGTTGTTTATCAAATACATAACATTGTATGGAGTCATCCATGCCGATCGAACAGGTTTGATGTCCTATATAAGGAGAGTTAATCGTGCCCTATCTGCCCTAGTCTTTGACCTTATTTCTCTGTTACTAGTTCAAACACTAATTCAGTTCTTAAGAATTTGTCTAAAAAACCCCACATAATCTTATATCTAATAATCTAATCTTTATTTAGCCCGGTTATTTGTTGACTGATGACAAACTTAATCGGCCATTTCGGATCATTTTGGTCTCAGTGTGTTATCGAGTTCAAGCTGAACATGTGGGTTAAAGCAGAAAACATAAAAGTTCACAGAAAAATCCTCATTGAGTCTGAATATTGTCTGGTTCGCAGTTGACTTAAGTGTTGCGCACCGACTCGTGTCCTTACGCAGCCCCACAGGTGCGCGAGACGTCACCACAGCCAGCGAGACTTTGCCTCCCCAACCCACGAGGCTTTTCTGATCCGCTGAAGCGAAGAGTCAGGCCCAAAACGGAGGATTAAGCCAAACACAAACGCCTTTCTAATCAGTTTAACCCGCTGAGATTCATAGTCCGTGCGCGCCTCTGTGTGTGTGTGTGTGTGTGTGTGTGTGTGTGTGTGTGTGTGTGTGTGTGTGTGTGTGTGTGTGAGGGGGAATCAGTGACTGCTAAACCAAACAATGGGGTATCGTGTGCCGCTCGTCCTCGCCAGCATTCCCCTGCTCCCATGGGACACCCGGAGCCACTCTGTTTGGATGGCACTGTGTCCATGAGGTCAGGAGGGGCGTGGTGTGCGTGCATGAGCGTGTGTGTGTGTGTGTGTGTGTGTGTGTGTGTGTGTGTGTGTGTGTGTGTGTGTGTGTGTGTGTGTGTGTGTGTGTGTGTGTGTGTGTGCGTGTAGCAGCTGGTTCCCGTTCCTTCTCTGTGTAAAAGAACAACATCCGCAACGTCTCCCATCGATCGCCGTATATTGCACACTCCTTTTTTTCTGCTTCTTGTTTGGGGAAAACGCAGAACTCTCCTGGGAGTGTTGGCATCCTTAATTAAAGCAGAGTGACCGCCTCAAACCTCATTTTCTTAAAATCTAACTCATCATGTGCGAAAGTTGAACAAACACCAGGGTTCAGCACGAAACACAGATCTTGATGGGATATTTCCTGATGAGTGTTTTTCACTTTAGAAAGACAGTGGACTCAAAATACCAAGGTTAACAGGAGACCCTGTGAGGTCAGTCATTGGTACAATAAGTTTACATGGCAGCACCTCTCTCTTCATTGTGTCACTGTTATGAAAAAAGTGGGTGTCACTGATTTGTGGTGCCTCCTCTGTACATAATGTGACCTAGTTAGTCACTTGTGCAACCCAGCAGGCACACAAAGAGCCCAGCCCAAAGACTGTAAAAACACCTGTCATGCAAGGACATAACTTCTTCAATACGAAACCTTTAACCACTCAGAACTGTGCCAAGTTGATGCCAGAGCAGTGGGTGTTTGAAATAGCAATGCCAAAATGAAATGAAGTCATGTTGATGGATGTCATTAATAAAATCTTGGGATTTCCCGGAGGGAAGATTGACAGTAGACCAAGATTGATTGATTGATTGATGGAAATAGGGGAGAGTGGGGTAAGTTGAGCCAAAGGGTAAGTTGAGCCACCCCCTGTTGCTTGGAAATGGTCAAAGAAATTGATCATGTGACCAAATATTTAGGAGATGGGCATCAATTCATGGAGTCTGTGAAGGTTAGAAGCACATGGGTGAAGGGGTTAGACATTTATTTATTAAAAAAAACACTTTTCACTCTTAAAAGTGAATTTAGTCTGTCATAAGTATGATTAGAATCGCGTTCAGACCAAAAAAGATCATTTTGTGGTACCTATGAGCTACAACATGAGGTCAAAAACCTAACATAAAAGTCCACCATTTTAGTTTAGAGGACTAATAAAGTCATCATAGTAGTTCAGCTGAGAAAGTAAAGGAGTCTGATGAGAGGATCAGAGTTTCAGTTCAGATTGTTGAAATGTCTTTACTTTTTCTTTTCAAAAATACAGCTGTGAATGTTCTGAATCATGTGAAGACATTCTCATGTTAAAATGGCTTTTTACAAAACAGCTTTTTCGCAGTTATATGCAATAATAATAATAAAAAGAATTATTGTACCAGTTGAATAGTGTATAATAGATAAAAATACACATGAATGTGAAGAAGTGACTGTTATTTAGGGAGAGAGGCTGAGGGAACTTACCCCGCTCCTATGGTCAACTAACCCCATAGACATGGGTAAGTTGACCATAGGAGACCACTTTTTTTGGCATGCTATATCTGTTGGTTTGCAGGGATGAACAACATCTTGAAATTTATGCAGATACACTAGTTAGAGACAAAACTATGATTGACTTGATGTAGTGATCCGAAATCTGAAAAATGGCTCATCTTACCCCACTCTCCCCTAGAGTTTAACCTTTTTTATTGTTTGTTAATCATTTACTGTTTTATGACTTACAGCCTCACAGTATAGTAAGGCTGTAAGTCATAAAAAAGAACCACTGAACCACATTTTTAATCAATGTTTTAAAAATCTCAGGAAGATGCAGCGAGTAATATTACTCACTGCAACTTCCTGAGATTTTTTTTTAATGTAGTTTTGTTTTCAAGATATAAAGCTGATCACGAAGTTTCAAAATGCTTGCTTCTTCGGTAAAGTTTCAAATAGATTTGCTGAGATGTTTTTGCACATGAAATTTTGTTTAAATTTGAACCAGCATTTGGTCCTGAATGCAGCACACAATCTTGAAGTCATCATATCTAAGTGTTGGTCCTCTGCTGTATGTCACTGCCATCTACTGGTCTCTTCCTAAAAATCATCAGTTACGGTTCCTAAGGTCTGCAGATATGTTTATCCTTTTATTCTGAGGCTGTTTCAGATAAAAAAATAAAATTAAATTAAGAGCTGAGACAGAGTTTAGCATTAACAAAAACTTTTTATTGAAAATAAGCTTGATAAAACTCAAAGTCTTAAACTTCAACTCCGGATAAACAAAGTGCATCCACACAAATCAGTACAAATCAGAGCATTTCAAGATCTTATTTCAAGATTAACTGACATGTTACATTCATTGGCCACACAAATATAAATACTACATTGTAGTGCATAGTTTGCATTTAAAAAAAGGCAAGTCAACAATGAAAACAAAGTAAACCAGATATCTAGATCAATTTAGCATATACCCCATAGTTTTCACATTGTTTTTCAAAAGTTTAGAATAAACCTTACCTCTCCTTCAACACAGCTTCTGAGGGTTAGTTTATAAACACTCCTTCATTGACTAAAGAGATTTGACACCATAAAAAAGTTGATTCCATCAAAGTTCATTACAAAAAAAAACTATGTCAAGATCCTTCCTTCATACTAACTTCCTTCAAAGAGCAATTTTCCTACTCATATTTAAAATTACTTCACAAAACTCAAAGAAAAGCTCAGCTTACAGTGAACCTCCAATAACTTAATAGCACAATAGTACCGAGCACTCTCAATAGACAGGGGTGTCGGGATTATAGGGAGGGATACTATTGTACTGTTCGATGTTGGGAGAGGACAGTACGGTGTGAACAATATAGAGGGTGCAAGATGTTGAGCTGAGCTCCAGTGCATGGGTCTTCAGAACTTTTGATATCAGTGCTGTGCAGGAAACATTCAGAAGTACATATCAGACTAGTAACAAGTAACTAGTAACAGGTAAGGGTCTTCACTGAGCTGCTTACGCAGTGTAGACCAGCTGCCCTGATAGAATGCTGTCAGAAGACAAGCCTAGAGTACCCTCTGGGGCCGTCAACCACACCCTGTCTCCAAGGTCAAGCCTAACATACACATGGCCACTGGCTACTGTGGTTTCTCTTGTGACGGTGGTGAATGAGTGCACGATCCGTTTACCGTTACGTACAAGATCCAGAGAAGAAACAGCATTGCTGATGATGCAGTTGAACGTGAACTCGTAAACTCCTGGTTCCTGGCAGGTGAAATAGCCGGTTCTGATATCATAACTGTTCTGCTCGTTGTAAATGGGCGTACGGAACATGACAGGATCTCTAGATGTGGGCGAGTCGTTACCCAATTGCACAGAAAAGGCAACAAACTTCCTGGCATATGATTGTCCAGGAGGTCCAGGAGGTCCAGGAGGTCCCCGGGGGCCATAACCATCATGGTGGTCTTCATAACTAGGATCCATTGTATCAGGTGAGACTAAAGAAATCAAAGATATGAGTGTTAGAGCGCAAAATCCTTTCTACCGCAGCATTATGAAGCAAAATCAATAGAGAATTTCACAGATAGCAGCTCAGGAAGGAGTTGACTTTCCTTCTGTTTCAGGGTCAGTTTGTATATATATTTACATTGGCACTAATGGAAGAAAAGAAGGTTTTAGCACAATGACTTACCAGTCTCCGTCCACGGTCTGAGGTCAAGGGCAGGTATGTCCTCGCACAGAGTGTAACTATTCACTTGTGGACTGTACAGAAAAGGGTTCCTTGGTATTTTGGTGATTTTTGTGTTGTCACAGATAATTTTTGACAATGACATTCCCCTCAGTGAGTATTTTTGGGCCTCAGTGAAGACCCCATCATTCTCCCACCAGAATCTGAAATTCAAAGGTTCGGTAGAGTTTAAGTCTTTGAACGTCAAAATGGATGTAATGGTGCGATTACACAGCTATTTCTACAATTTTGTAGATGTTTGTCACTAACGCGACTTCACTCCTTCCTCTTTTCTGCTTACCGGTCACCTTGGCGAAGCTTCTGGAACTGCTTAGCAATCAGGCAGGCAAACAGAGGTCCCACTCTCCCTCCGTTCACAAATGGCTCTGACACCCCTCCCAGCCACACGTCAATGTTTTCGGGCGTACCGTAGAGACTCATTAACTTCGCAGCAAGATCAGGATTGCCCATAACTTCACCCAGCTCATCAACATCCTCTGGTACGGACAGGTCGCAAAACTCCCTCCATTTGGAATAACCTAAAAAAGGACAAAAAGGGTTGTGAACATCAAGAATGTAAATGTGTTACGAAAAGGGGTTTTGGGATTGAGGTGTTAATATGTGTTTGGTTACAGATCTACAGTGTTAGTCGCCAATTCAGTCAAGCAAAATTTGAGGAAAGTATTAAAGTCCAAGTATACCTGGGAGTCCATGGTCACGGCCCCTCTGCATGTTGAGAGAGCCAAGGTCAAGGGCCAACTTGGCGGTAAACTGGAATAGCTTCTCCCTTAACTCATCGTGCATCATGTGCTCCTGTGTGTTTAGCTTTGCCTCTCTACCAACCAGACCTCTCAAAATTGGGTCCACACCACCTGAGGAGCAAAGGTGTAACAACAAGCACCACACGATTAGCGCGAGTCGGTTGTCCAAGCATGTTTTCTTCTTGCTATCATGTCCTTCATGGTAAAGTGGAATTCATTAAGCACAATGAGGCTACTATAAAAAGTTGAAGATCTCAGCCGTACCTTCAAAGAGGATCCGCCATGGTGCGAAGAAGGCTTTGTGCAGCAGTGGGCTCGGGTACTCAGGGTGTTCGTTGTACTCTTCATCAAGGCGAAACATGAATGGCTGAACCATCAGATGTGCAAACCTGTAGGCAGCTGTGGCAAACACGTTAGCGATGCTGGGGTCGGTCTCCTCATCATAGCCAGGGTAGGTGGAAAGGTACTTGGCAGTGACATCTGGTCCAACAATTAGGGGCAAGTAGTCACGGTAAGTGATAACCTGATTGACAAAAACATAAACTGAGTCAACTGAACCATACAGGGTCAGCCCACCCATCTCTTCGGTCACTGATAAAATGTTTCTGGAATTCATGTTGTAAGGCCCTCTCTTACCTGGAGGTATGCGGCAACGATCTTGCGTGCCTCCTGGTAGATTCTCTCTCCCCCCCAGTGAGGGTTGAGTTCAGCCAGAGCACGGGCCAGACGGTTGTGTTCACGCACTAAAAGTGTTTGCAGAGATAACAGGCCGATGTTCTCGTTGGCACGCCCGTCACCTGAGAGTCACGAAATGAGAAGGGAAACGTTATAAGCCTGGTGCAATGATGAAACTGATCTGTTTTCAGCCTTCATAACTGCAACTTACCAGCTATAAAACAGGGAACCTCTTCTGCGCTGCTGTCATTGGTGATCCTAGCTCGGCTGGCACACATGTTTGCACCCTTTTTGCCATCTGAGCTGCTGAAAGGAAGCAACTCTCGGCCATCATCTGTATACATGTCGTTGACTTTTAACAGCCCTTCATCTGTGGTGAGATCTCTGAGGTTCTGAGCGCTGGACTCATCTGAACCATACACCTCGCTCCCATCAATGAAAGCAGTGATTCCGTTCATCTGTCTGCGGACTGTGCTTGCACCAAATATGCTGCCAGTGTGGCCGGAACCACAAGCTGGTGCTGAGCGAAAAAAGGGAATGCACTGTCCTGAGTTTGAGCCAAAGCGTGGGTCGCCATCTGGGATCTGTTGACATGAAAAAGCAGCACTTAGAATATTTAAGTCCAAATATTCTGACACCGTTCTTGTAGCGACAACACGCTTACACTCACCTCAATAGGAAAGCACGGTTCAATGCGTTCACAGCTCACTTCGCAGTCAACGCCTCCAACAAATGGCCGCACAGCAGGAGAGTGAGGTGTGAAAGTTATATCGTGGTCCATCAGCTGGCCCCAGATTGTTAACAGGTGAGTGTAAAGAGAATCACCGTCAACATCAGAGTTTGCTGTACTCAGAATCTCGTTGGAGACCTCTCTCACCTGGAGGCAGGATGAAGAAAATTCAGGACAACCTCTTTGAATGTAAATTCTTCAGTTCTGTGATATTTCTTAGTCTCCTGAAGAGCTCTCTCAGGTGGAGAACAATGAATTCATATAACATACAAAGAAAGAGATTCTGTAAAGCTACAATCATCTCTCTCACATAGATATTTGAGACATAGAAATATAAAAAAGGTTTCTCACTGGAGGGAGGACATGGCCGTTGATTTCCCGTTCAGGGTCCCATCCTTTTGGCTCAGATATTCCGTCCTGGTACTCGGCAGGGAGCCAGCGAACAAAGGGTATACTGGAGGATCCCCATCGTGTGTTTTCCCTGTGCAATAAAAATAAGTCAATGATTGTACCCTTCATTTCTTTGAGTAAAAAGCTATGTTAGTAACAGGTTTAAGGCAGTGGTTCTCAACTGGTCTCACTCTGGGACCCACTTTCTCCCATGGTCCAAACCAATCAAATTTATTTCTTGTAAAAAAAAACTTTAAAGACTCAAATCTTTGACATAAATACACCCATTTTATCGAGTAAAGTGCATGTCAGAGCACATGAACTGAAGACGACAACAACTGAAGTTTCATGTACAGAAAATATCAAATTGCACAAAATGGAGACCAGCAAAATGAAAAATTTGACTTATTTGCATCCTGAGGAGGACCGTGCAACAGCATGGACAAAAGTGAATAAACATCAAATTGCACAAAATAAAGACCATAAAAAAACGTGTCACTTTCCCGCATTCAGGCCACATTAATAAGAAACCGAAGAGGACCACAACATAACGCTCAAAAGAAGCTTTTTTCAAAATAAAAGACATTTCAAACATCAGATGCGCTTTAAATATTTACTTTTTTTGACCAGCTTTTCGCGACCCATCCAGAACGTGTCCACGACCCCCTTATGGGTCGGGACCCACCAGTTGAGAACCACTGGTTTAAGGGACATGCAATAAACAACTCATATCAGGCATTCAGTTTAGAGATTGACTGTCATACAACAAAGTTATCAGTGAAATGGCGCAGAGATTGTCAGTAACTGCCTCACCTGTTGTTGCAGACGCTGCTTGCTGTGCGAAACCTGTCCCTATTGGGGGTCGTCCTGCAGTCGATGGGGCGTTGCCTGGCAGTGCAGCCTGTCAGATCGGATAAGACCTGCAGCTCCTCTTCAGTGAGCAAATCTTAAAGAAAAGAACAAAAAAAGTCATCGACTCAGCTGGAGCCAACACGCGTAAATGTTTTCAGGGACTCTGTGGAAAGCTGCGCAGGTTACTCACCTGTTGCATTAATGGAGCGTTTCTGCCGTCTTGCCTTCAAACCTTGGAGTAAAGTGATCGCATACTCCATATAGTCAGCCACGCGCACAGCCACACGCGCAGCACCTGCAGGCTGCTTCTCCAAGCGGTGGATGTCCGCGGGGCTCGCAGCTTTCCTTTTGACGCGCTCAATGGACCTGTGTGATGTGGAGAGCGCATGTCAACACCTGCTTTCAGCCCCTGTCTTACGGAGAGGTTAAGCTGTGAACAATCAGGTGGTTAAACTCACACTCTTCGGGAATAGGTGTAAGCTGAGTCGACGTTGGCTTTGGCTGAAATCACAGCCTCTTCAATCGCTCTTCTGCTCAGTTGGAGCTCTGGAGAGAAAAGGGCAGGGTTTTATTTTTCACTGTTGTATCTTTGAATAAATGGATTGATCGTTTTTTATTTTGATTCATGTCATACAAGCAGCTACAATATTCTATCGAAAAATATGAATTCATATCTGAATATCCGAATAAATGTAGTTGATTTATCCTTATTTTGTCACACAATGAATACACCTTCAACCACAACTTGTCAGGCTATTAATAAAAAGTTAAATGAGGTACTCACCGGCATGAACTTGGAAGGACACGTAAAGTCCCAGGGCCAGCAGCAGGGGCAGAAACGGCTGCATCTCTGCGGAACAAGGCGACACTCCTCCGGATAAAAAGAAGGAAAAAACGACTCGTGTTGCCCGGATCTAGACTGAGTTAAAATTCCGGTATTTGTTTGAATTTGCGAGGATTTATAAATGATCTAGTACAAACAAAGAATAAGTTAACAGATGAAGAGAAATCCGTGGAAGCTCCTGGCCTTGAATGAACTTTCATCCACTCTGAACATGTCAGCTCTGCACTCCTCTCTTTACTCGCTTGGTATTTATAAGGCTGAGATCAAAGGTGACGCCCTAATCTGACATTCGTGCCCGGAATTTGGCTGAAGTTATGGGTAAATAAATGTTTTCTTCCTCATAACTTCACAAATCATCTCGGGCCTGTTTCGCAGCTTCAGACGAGAACAGAGAGATATGTCCTCTCTGACCTCCGAAGTCTCGACATATTTTTGTGCAAACCATAGAGAGAGAAAAATACCTCAGATAATTTTTTAAAATAGAGTTTTTGTTCTTGGTGAAATGATTATTTTGCTTTTTTTATTTTGGGGTTCGCTGACCCTCATTTCTTATTTTTATTTCTTATTTTTCTCAGATGATAATCTTTCTTTTTTTTTGCATTTCATCGGTTCAAACATTTGGACCACAATAAGGACGCCGTTTTAACACGAATTTATGCCTAACTGTTGTTTTTATTATTCATTTTCTTTAATCTTAAATCACACTCAAAGATACTGTGCATGCACGTCAGACAAACGTGCAGGGACAGTAAACCTACTTCATCATTGGCCTGTTTTTTTCTGTTCTAATACTTACAGTCATTATGTTTACAAGGTGGACTAATTTCCTGTCCGGCTGAATATCTCAGCAGCGGTAACAATATGTTGAACAAACAACAGGTAGTTCAACAATGACAGGTATGTCCCAAACTAGTTCCTTGGTTGGAAATATTTGCGGGATTTTCAGAAAGTCATGGAATGAAGATGCAGTTTGCGTGACAAGCAAAAAAGAAATGAACTTCCTGTACTAAAAGAAACCAAAAAGAAAATCAAGTTTTATGTTGACCATGACCAGAAATGAGCTCACCTACCGTAAACACGCGGAGATTAAACATTCAACCGGTAAATATGCTTGAAAAAAACAACAGCAACAACACTGGTCTAATAATGAAGTTCTGATAAAATGTAAAGAAATATAATATTTAAAGTGAAATTGGTTGATGGTTTGTTAAAGTTGCATTAACCTGATATGATCTTATTACATAAAATAAAGAACAAAGCAGCTGAGATGACCAAGTGACTCTTTGCGCCTAAACTGAACAATAAAATCACCAAACGGAGAAAAGTGTGTTATTATTATTGTTATCTGTGTGATTCAGCTGCCACTGAAGATTTTCCTCGTGTGTTGGATTCAAAAGAGATCATCTTATTTTATTTTATCATTAGAGTCTAGATCCAGACAGTCACGATCGACCTCCAAACCGTGCGTAAAAGTCTGTTGCGCATAAGCAGACGACACACTCTTTTAGCCCTTTTACGCGGCGAGACTTTTCCCGTGAAAACGACTGCAACGACTTCTTCCAAAGTATCATTATTAACTTTTCCATTTTATTAGTAGTTGCTAATATCTGGATTTTAATTGATGTGATTTAGTGCCATTTAAACCCCATTTCCATGCAGCATTTGCATTTGAAGACACACATTTCAAACTGCATGCAGGATATGCTGATATAGGGAGGACCGGGGCTTGTTGTCACTTGGGTAAGTTGTCACATCACAGTTATTTTTGCCACCAGAGGGTGCAACTAAAAAGTGGAATCCTAGTTTTATTCCTGTACATGATCAGGGGTTGTATCCTGTCTAAGAAGAGAACGCCAATAAACCATTTTGCACAACCCAAAGTAAAGAAAATTAACTTCATATATTTTAAAATAAGCTTCTTCCAGATTAAAATCCTAGCAGTGAAAGATGTCGACTTGTTAGAGGAGAGATTAAGGCATCCTGTCATACCTCAGTCATTGTTCTGTTTTAAGATAACTTTAAACTAGAGCTTTGATTAGCAGACATGGTTGTTTGGGGCAAAAACGTCTCAGTCATTTTGGGGTAGTTATCACGTGTTTAAAAGGGATTAAAATTAACATAGAGAGTCTGTTTATCGGCAGTTGTCAAATTAAAATGTTGACTTTATTTTTACAGAGAACAAAGTGGTTTAAAGGAGGGGAGAAAGTGAGAAAACATGGTCAGGAATTACAAAAGAAAAACTGAACATGTCAGTGCAGTACCTGACGTGATACTGAGGACAGTCTGACAGGTGAACCTTGCTAATAAATCAATCTGGAGTACAATAAACGTCTTTAATGTCAACTAACATACCTTGGCTCGGTACTGCAAAAATATCCAGCCCAGCCAAAATACAGAGTCAAACAGCTCTCCAAACTCCAGAGCATGTTGAGTAATATTTTATGTTAACGTTTGTTCAAAGACTTTTTCTAAATCAATGATAAACATTTTCTGTGTCTGACTTTGATGTTCACTTTCAAGTAAAAAAAAATGAGAACAACAATTATTTTGTCCTTGTTTTATTAGCTGTAAGATCCACTGTGACATCTTACCCCATGTAGTGAGACAACTTACCCGATGGGGGGTCAACATGTCACATGTTCACACTCTCTATTTGATTACTAATAATTCTGCACTGACACAAGATATGAAAATGACATGAACACGAAATATAAACCTGAGACTTTTGTTCTTCATCTGGTACAAACTTTGTTAATATATGATGCATTGATTCCATAAAATATATAAGAGTGTAAAAAGTGTGACAACAAGCCCCGGTCTGCCCTATATGCTGGATTTTGCCTCTTAAATTGAAGCCGGAGAGTCTCTCTAGAAACATGCTGCCTTCTCAGCAGTGTTGCAGGGATTATAAGCTTTGTTTGGAATTTCAAACTTTATTCAGCTACCTTTGTTTTCCATCCCTGCACCACCAGCTCACTGGTTTAACTTGTAGAAGACTCTTCATTAAACAATCTCTGCATGGGCGGAGTGCATGCAGGTAAGGAGGCTTTTTGATGTACTAAGAGACTTGAAAAAGCACGGCGTGAAAAAATCGGCAACAACAATCGCAAATACTGCAATGATCACAAGCTCGACTTCATCTAATTCTTAGTTTTTATATTTATCTGCTGAGAACCATGTTTTGTACAGTACCCATGTTTGCACTTTACATTATTTGTTCATGCAGTTGTACTGCAGTGAGTTTTTTGGAGATGCTCATATGATCACTTTGTAACTGTATTTAATCGTGCAGCTCTTGTTCCCATGCACGTAAAGACTAAAAAGCACATCAAACTGTAGTGATAAAGCTTTAGCTCTGCTTATATCTGCATTTACATCGATTGGTTTGGATGAAAGTTGCTCTGGAACATCTTTCAACACATATTTTAATCCTTATTTGCACGAGTTTAACCCGTCTAAAAACCCACTTTTATTCCTTGACTTTTGACCCAGCATGAGACGGCGTTTTATTGTTTTATTGCTTTTTATTATATTTTAATACAAGTATTTATTGTTGTTTTATGTTTTTATGTTATTATGTACAGCACTTTGTGTCAGCTTTGGTTGTATTTAAAGTGATCCATAAATAAAGTTGAGTTGAGTTTTTAATTAATCTCATCAACCGTTTGCAAAGCTGATACAAAGCAGGATCAAATGAGTTGATAGATGTTGAACACATTTTGATAAAGTTAATTCACAATGTTATAACTTTAATGTTATAACCCTTTTAGCAGTCTGGTATTTGCCTCTTTTTTTGCATCTCTGAGGTACATCAGAAATTGTTAAATACAGACTGAGAACTGAGTAGAGTAACAACAATTTATTGCAGAAATTTTGTAAATTCATAAGGCGAAGAAAATGCCCCACATGTTCTTTTTTAAATATTCACATCTTTCAGTTCACAAAGTTTAAAAATTATTAGAGTTTTTACAGGTGATTCAATCCCTCATGTTAAAACATGTCTCCTGATAGCTGGCACTCATGTGTACAGAAGTATTAGGACCAAGAAGGAGCTAAAAAAAGAAAAAGAGGAGTTATTTAAAATATTAAGCACTTCTGAGAGAAAAGTAAAAACATGGAGAATAAAGTTGAAAATTTAGGACTGAAATCCAGTTTTTTTCCTGCAAATTTCAACTTTATTCTTGTTTTTTATTCTTTAAAAATCCTCCTCCAAGTTTGAATTCGTTCCTGGCCCCTAAACTCCTACACATGAAGTTTTCACCGATCAGTCAGACAGCTTTAGTTTTTTTTTTCACTCGATTTCCTCCTTCCATGGGCTGAGGTCAAAGGCGGGAATATTTGCACATTCAGTGAAGAACCTGCTCGATGTGAACTGGAAGGGCTTCTCTGGTACCCTGGTGATACCGGTGTTGTCACAGATGATGCGGGAAAGTGACGTCTGCTTCAGGGACTCTCTTTGGGCTTCACTGAACACTCCCTCATTCTCCCACCAAAGTCTGGAATAAACAGATTTTGTGTTAAAAGTTTGTCGAACACAGCTGTCGATATATTAACTGCACATGTACTGTAAAGTTCTCCTCCTGGTCTACTCACCGGTCCCCCTGGCGGATCCTTTGGAACTGAGTGGCGATCAGACAGGCGAACAGGGGTCCCACTCTCCCTCCAGGGACAAACGGCTCTGCCACTCCCCCCACCCACACATCAATGTTTTTCGGTGTGCCGTACAGATCCAGCAGGCTCCTGGCCAGTTGTCTATTTTCCAAAACTTTTCTCAGCTGTCTCCGATTTTTTGGTTCTGACAGTCCACAGAACTTTCGCCATTTGTTGTAGCCTTAATAGGGACGCACAGGGTGAAAATGCGGCAATGTCTTCAATTTTTTGGTGCATTTTGGGATAAAAATCTACAAAACAGTGTAGTGAACTGAAGAACTAGATAAAAGTCATACCTGGGAGACCGTGGTCTCTGCCTCTCTGCATGTTGAGCGAGGCGAGGTCCAGAGCCAGCTCTTTGGAGAACTCAAACAGCCTCTCCCTCAGCTCGTCGTGCATCATGTGATCCTGTGTGTTCAGCTTTGCTCTGCGACCCACCAGACCTCTCAGGATTGGGTCCAAACCACCTAAAGAAATCAGGAAACATGGAGAACTTCAGGTGGACTTTTGACTAAGGTAAGTAAAGACCTGGATGTTGATACTGATTTCACTCATGGCTGCTGATCCTGCCTGTCTTGAATCAGCACTTCCTCCTGAGCAGCTAAACTGAAGAACTCCAGGAGTCTGGTTGGGTAAACTACTGGAAATCTTAAGTTGGCTTCATCAAGCCATGACCTTTTCGCAGCCAAGTGTGAAGTGGCTGGGATGAGAATCAGCACCTCCAAATCTGAGTCCATGGTTCTCAACCGGGAAAAGGTAGAGTGTCCTCTCTGGGTTGGAAACAAGATCCTGCCTACGTAGAGGAGTTTAAGTATCTCTGGGTCTTGTTCATGAGTGAGGGAAGAATGAATTGGGAGATCGACAGGCGGATCAGTGCGGCGTCAGCAGTGATGCGGGCGCTACACAGATCTGTCATGGTGAAGAAGGAGCTGAGCCGAAAGGCAAAGCTCTCGATAAATGGGTCGAGCTACGTTCCTACCCTCACCTATGGTCACGAGCTGTGGGTAGTGACCGAAAGGACAAGATCGTGAGTACAAGTGGCTGAAATGAGCTTCCTCCGCAGGGTGGCTGGGCTCTACTTTAGAGATAGGGTAAGAAGCTCTGTCATTCAGGAGGGGTTTGGAGTAGAGCCGCTGCTCCTCTGCGTTGAGAGGAGTCAGATGAGGAGGCTTGGGCATCTAATCAGGATGTCTCCTGGATGCCTTGCAGGTGAGGCATTCAGGGCACATCCCACCAGCAGGAGACCGTGGGAAAGACCATGGACATGCAGGAGAGACTATGTCTCTCAGCTGGCCAGGGAACGCTTCGGGGTCCTTCGGGAAGAACTGGACCAAGTGACTGGGAAGAGAGCAGTCTTGGGTTCTCTGCTCAGAATGCTGCCCCCGTGACTAGACCCCAGATAAGGGGTTGAAGCTGGATGGATGGATATAAACTTTGGTAATGAACCTCCACCAAGAGTAATCACAGTCAAAGCCGTGAAAAGAGAGTCTGAAGTCTTGGGAAGCATTCTTCCTCAGAGCTTGGTGAAAGCTGGCTAAACCAGATACCCTGAAATATTAACCTTCACTGCCTGAAGATGTACATCGTTTTGTCTCAACTTGTTGTGCTCACATTAGATCAAAAGTTGAAGATCTCAGTCGTACCTTCAAAGAGGATCCTCCATGGAGTAAAGAAGGCTTTGTGCAGCAGTGGGCTCGGGAACTCAGGGTGTTCGTTGTACTCTTCATCAAGGCGAAACATGAACGGCTGAACCATCAGATGTGCAAACCTGTAGGCAGCTGTGGCAAATACGTTCGAGATGCTGGGATCCACGTTCTCATCATAGCCGGGGTAGGTGGAGAGCTGTTTAGCAACGACATCTGGTCCAACGATGTGGAGTAAGTAATCTCGGAAAGTGATAACCTGATACACAAAAAGGAAAGTGAGTGAACACAACAGCACCATTTGTTCGTTATGTAACCCATGTTGCTTCGCCGTCTCTCACCTGGAAGTACGCGCCCATGATCTTGCGTGCCTCTTGGTAGAGTCTCTCCCCGTTCCAGTGAGGGTTGAGTTTAGCTAGAGCACGAGCCAGGCGGTTGTGCTCACGCAGTAAAAGAGTGTGCAGAGATGACAGACCGATGTTTTCATTGGAGCGCTCATCACCTGAAATATAAATCAGACATCTGTCGGTGTCACGGTTGTCACATTCAAGACGTGCAAATGACAAATGACAAAACTGAATTGAAAGACAACAGAAGTAAAAGGACTGCCAAACACTTGCAGTCAGTCGTTTACCAGCCAGGAAGCAGGGTACCTCCGCCACACTGACATCGTTGGTGATTCGAGCTCTGGTGGCACACATGTTGGCGCTCATGTTAGTGAAAGGAAGGAGCTCTCGTCCGTCATCAGTGAACTCTGTATTGACTCTCAGCAAACCCGCGTCCGTGGTGAGGTTGCGTAAAAACCGCGCTTTGGCGTCATCTGAACCGTACACCTGACCCAAATCGATGAAAGATGTCAGAGTGTTCATCTGTTGGCGGACAGTGCTCGCACCAAAGAGGTGGCCGGTGTTGCCAGAACCACAAGCTGCTGTCGAGCGGAAGAAAGGGATGCACTCCTCTGAGTGCCTCTCAAGGCGGGGGTCATTCTCTGGGATCTGTCAGCGAAAGAAAAAGAAAGTTAGAACTTGGTTTGTCTCGCTGTAGATTCAAGTATGTCCCATAAAAAGAATTACATGCTAAGTCAATGTAAAGATGCGATAAGACGCTCATACTACTCTGACGCGAATTGGGCGGGAGCTGAAAATGTCTCAACTTGAGCGAATTTGCGTCACGATAACGAATCAGCATAACGGTTGCCGGGTGACGTATAAAAGCTAACGGCTGTTCACTGATATCTAAAATGGAGGACAAACTGATCGTGTCTCCATAGGGATTGCTGGAGGAGGCGGGATTTATGATCTATACTGCAGCCGTCACAAGAGGGCGCTGTTCTCGGAGTGGCTTCGCCCAGCGAGGAGGCAGACGGCGTCCATTCTATATGCAGTCTATGGTGCAGACACAACACTACCCGATGGAAAACGGACATTTAAAGGCTGAGTTAGAAGTAAAATAGGAGATTCATAAATAAATAAATACAGACCTGAATGGGAAAGCACGGCTCGGTGCGTTCACAGCTCTTGTCACAGTCGATGCCATTACTGAACGAGCGGATAACAGGAGAGTGAGGGGTAAACGTCAGATCGTGGTCGGTCCACTGGCCAAAAATGGTCACCAGGTGAGTGTAAAGTGGATCACTCTCCACATCAGCGTTCGCTGTACTCAGAATACGGTTGGACACTTCTCTCACCTGGAGGCAGGATGAAGAAAATTCAGTACGATGTATTTGAACGTAAAATCTTCAATTCTGTGACATTTCTTAGTCTCCTGAAGAGGTGGAGAACAATAACTTCATATAATATTTACAGTAAATATGTATATTTACTAATAAGCAGTACCAAAGGGAGGAGTCGTCTGTTGACTCTCAGTTCCAGGTCCCAGCCCTTGGGCAGAGATATATCATCCTGGTACTCGGCAGGAAGCCAACGCGTAAAAGGCGTGTTGGAGGATCCCCAGCGGCTGTTTTTTCTGCACAGGAAAATAACTTCCTTTATTATTCTTTCTTTTGTTTTAAATATGGAGGGACCGCATTTGTACCACTGACTGACTAAAACCACAGCCAACATTTCTTTGAAGGAATGCGAGCACCTTTCCCCTCCCATTCAAATACTTTTCCACTTAAAACGAAACGCAAAGAGGACTGGTTTCTTGTTCATCAGAAGTTTCAATCTTTGTCAGCATCTACTTTTAAGGCTCAGGGAATATCAAACTTTCAAAATGCCCAGTTAATAAACTTGGTAAGACCTCTCTGTGACACATTTCAGTGACATTATTAAGTTTATAAAAGGGCAGTAACTTTAAAAAGATGCCTTTTCAAATTTGGTTTTAAGCCGGGCCCTCACCTGTTGTTGCAGATGCTACTTGCTGTACGAAACTTTTCTAAATTCGGGGTCGTCCTGCAGTAGGGGGGTCGCTGTCTTGCAGAGCAGCCTGTCAGTTCAGAGATGAGCTGCAGATCCTCCTCAGAGATCAGGTCTGGTGACAGAAGCAAGACAGCTCAGCTTTGATTTAAAGTCAACCTGCAATGAAAATGCGAAGAACCTGTTTTGAACAAACACCTGTGGCGTTGATGGAGCGTTTCTGACGCCTTTCCAAAGAACTCCTGATCAGTTTCACAGCGTTATCCATATAGTCAGCAGCTCGCACAGCAAGACGGGTCGGCCCAACAGGCTGTTTCAACAACCGCAGGACGTCTGAAGGGTTCGCTGCATTCCTCCTGACACGCTCAATGCTCCTAAGTTGTGAGGAGAGGTGAAATTAAAGAGAATCAATGCATTTTAAATGCAGTTTATGTTCACGGGCACACTTGAAACTTTGCACGACTGCAGATGTGAGCAGCAGAGTAACACTTACTGTCTCCTGGAGTACTCATAAGCAGAGTCCACTGTGGCCTTGGCTTCATCCACAGCTTTTTCAATCAAACTTCTGCTCAAATTTGACTCTAAACACAAAGATTTTCCATTAGTTTACAATCTGTTGTCCTAAAAATAATCCTGTTACAAGAGACTAATTTGTGCACATTTATTATTTGTGAGGTTATGGACATACCTGCTTTCACGTGGCTCTGCAAACACAGAAAGATTGTACCTATCAGGCACAAAAACCACTTCATCTCTGTAAAAGAAAACCACAGTCCTGTTTTATATACTGAGCGAAACACCAAGACAAACAAATATCATTTATTTTCAATTTTAATTTGGTGCAAAATGAACAGGACCAGAGGACACGAGAGCATGTTTTAACTTGTTGCAGCCCATAAAAGGTTTGGATTTCTATCAACACATTTGAAAAACTACAGTCGACAAAAATACCTTTAAAGGTTATCCATGTCAGCGTAATCTGTGATATAAGATTAAAGTCAGTGACTGTGCAGATTCAGTGTAAGGGGTGGAACCGTTTTGTTTTATCGCTGATGTCCCTACATGACCTAAAAACACAAACTAGATCATTGGGCAGAAATCTATTTCTTAATCAAAGCATTAAGCACGTGTGATCGTGTGCTGATCACAGAACTGTTTGTTCTATTTACATGCTGTTCACTTTGGCTCACAAACAAGTAGTCGTAGAAAAATATTCTCTCTCTTGGTCTGTATTGATTGGTTGAAATCTGATCTGGTGACATTGCTGATGAGCTATTAAGTTTATTACAGAGCCTGCCTTCAGGTTTCCAAGTACAGTGGTTTTCTTATGTAGGTCACCAAACGTACAAACTTAAGTCTCGAATTTTATAGACACTCTTAGGCAGCTTGGAGAAGATAATATTTATAAAAACGGGATAAAATAGGATTTAATAAAAACAAATTTTTAGAAAAAGAGTTCTGCCCAATGGTCCATCCAATACAAACACAATTTAATGCATTTTAAACACAGTTATATCTAACATGCTTCACCAGTATTCCTCTATTAGAGCTCATTTTAGCAACTCTACTCTGTGTTTCTGCCTCTTTAGAGGTGCAGTCAGTTCTTTACTGTCTTATAATGTCCTTGATGACCTTTTAGGACATCCAGTGTTATGATCGGAAAGTGTATTAATATTAAAAATCTCAAATTAAAGCAGTTCTTTTATTTTAAAGCATCACCAGTTTTGCGGAAACCTTACGGCTATTGACAAAATGCCAACGTTACATAACTTAATTACAAAAAAGCATGCATGTAGGGTTACCAGCTTTCAGAGCGCTGTCCTACTAAAAGTAAGCATAAAGAGATAGCTCAATGAGAATATAGATGAATATGACAACTGTACCTGTGATGTCTTTAAGGTCCTAGTTCAGTCGTCTCGCTGCAGTCAGGAGTTGATGTCTCTTTAGGCGCTCCAGCTTTTGTATTTATAGTGTTTTTTGTTGCAGGAGACATCCCTTAAAGCTCTTTGTTTAAATGATTTTGAAACAAGTGAATATGTCGTTCAACAGGAAACAAAAAACCCAAACTGCTCAACATTTCAATGAAGTGGAAACACAATGGATACACGACTTTAAAGCTGGGGTCATCTTTTCCACTTAAAGCGTCATTAATGTCAAACATTTTCCTGCAAGTCGAGTAGACGCACCCAAAGCTACATGAGCATTCAATTGTTTCAAAGCTGCGGAAAGACCTTTTGGATAGTTACTCTGCATAGACCGGATCCTAGTTTGGTGGATCGAACTAAACTGGCAAAAATGGGCCGAATCAGATCTTGATTACACCGTTTCAGATTATTTTTTGCTGTTTTTAACATGTTATATGGGAAACAAACTCCATCATGTGCTTTAAAGTGTAGACCATGTCGGCTGGAATGTCACCCAAATGTTTTTTCTTCTTGTGGTTTACATTTTAAAAATGTATATACTACACTGAGTGGAACTTTTTCATGCAGCTCACAGATTCAGCAGACAGATAATGTCAGATGGTTTGCAGAGTGTGACAAACATTAGCAGAGCTCGCACCCCCAGCCCTCAGCCCTGCAGGTATGCTCACCTGAGCTGGTTTTACATTGCTCTTGTTGATTTGTAGTGTCAGTTCAACCAAAATACGACTCTGTCCCCATTGTTTTGATCAAAACGCCTTAAATGTGATGTACAACATGTAGGATTCGGCCAGTTTTGCTTGTTTAGATCTTGGTTATAGAGAGTTATACCCAGTGGTGTAGTGGTCCCTGGAGAAGTGGGTATACTCTCAATTTTTACCTTTTTTTTCTTTCCTTTTTTTAAAGTAGTCCATAAAAACACCCTGTTTTATAAACAGTGACATATCAGACTACTCTGTTTAGTTTACCCCACGATCTGTCATTTCTAATTGCACACGATTATAAAATGATCATGACTTGATTAGGAGCAGTTTGTAGTTATTACTGGTCACACAAGCAGCCTAGAGGAATGTAATATGTATTTATCATGAGGCAAACATGGTGTTTCAAGAAGACGTGCAGTGACCTGTTAATCAATTGGAGTGGCACTGAGGTGTTAGCAATATTTCCCGCCCTACTCTGCCTCTGATTGGCTCATCAGTCCTCATCCCTAAAGTTAACCAATCTAATCAGTGAAGGCAGCGAGTACCAGCTAATTAGAGGCAGAGGAGGGTGGGTCATAGCTTCACCACCCTTGAGGAAAAAATGGGCAATCTGACAAACACACAGATATTACTGAATGGGTATCAGGGAGATTTAGAAGTGGGTATACGCAACGCTGACTGAAATATAAGTAGGTATACCGCCGTTTACCGCCGTATACCCTGGACTACACCACTGGTTGTGTCACATCTTAGACACACAATATGGAAGACAAGAACGGTCACGTATTTTAAATTTTTTTATACACTGTTATTCCATGATATAGATTTGTGATCTTGTTATCTTGATATGACAAAGTTCGTTTTCTCATAATAACAAATTATTTTGCCGACCTAGAACGGTAACTTTTAAAAAAAACGCCCTCCAGAGTGGGATATTTCTGAAACGCCGCAGCCACCATTATCAACAGCAAGTCGGGGTTTTCAGTAGAAATGTTGACGTCACGCTTCACGCATGAGCATGACACTTTCATCATAGGAACATTTAACTGCCATGTGTGAATCAGACAACAACAGTAATAATGGTGGACACATTATTAATTAATTCGTTATCAAGAGAAAACGATCTTTGTTATATCGAGATAAGAAGTTGTTATCATGAGAAAACTGCATAAATAAAAGAAAGATCTATGGCTGTTTTTGTCTTCCATAGCAACATATTTTGAGCTACAATGATAAAACCATACACAATTCATCTGACCAGCATTCAGCCCACTTCACCAACACATCCTTGAATTTAACCACCAACTTAAATGAATTAAAATCTTACGAATTTGTTTTAATCCTGATTTAAAGATAGGAACGGCTGAATGTGAAGCTTCATGTGTTTGAATCACATTAAACTACATCGTCAAGATAAGCCTGGTGTCTTATACAATCAAGTGAGAAAAAAACAAAATAAGAATAAAACAGACTTAAACGCTCTTAAACAGGCTCTGCACCGAAATGCTCCACTCATCTTCTTTTTTTTTTTATTGAGCTTATTGTTTTACTTTGTTGTGTAACGATCTTGTTAAAACACGTCTATTTTTATACAGCTATATAACCTCCAGTGGAAACTTCCTTTGTTGTGGAGTAAACATAAAAGAATTCATTCAACACTTATTAAACATGACTCAAACATGTCAAGAGGAAAAGGCTTCCTGGTTCAGACAGTTTTGATTTGACATGTGCGTTGGCTGACAGCAGTTTCCAGTAAAGAAGATCAAAAACTCCCACAAGAACAAAGCTTTGCACGGACGACTCATTTCTGAGTGACACAGTCAGAGATTTATAATGTTCCCGTGTGGTCAGGTCAAAATAGCCGCCACTGTCTGTCTGTCCTGTGCCGCCTGAGGGTAGAGGAAATGTGCACAACTTAATTATTTTACTCTAGTTTTATTAACTTACTATGTGAAGTTTTAACTGCATGATCAAGACACAACCTTCACCTCATACCCTAAATACACCCGCCGAAACCAAAACAGGCTAAAATGTCAATGAGTGTGTCTAAAGAAGGTACTCAGAGTGTTTCAGGAGAGTTTAAAGGAAGCAGATGAAGACTTTTTTAAGAGAATAAGACGAGTTTATTTGAAAGAATTGGAGGAAAACTATATCACACACAGTTTTGTGCACAAAGGCAGACAAAATCCAAAGCACTGCACACCTTACCCAAAAACTATCAGTGAAGGAAGTCAGAGCAGGTTATTCGCAGTTTTTCTGCAGAGCTGCTTCACTTAGCTGCAAGCTGATTTTGGTCTTTTATTTTAGTTTATTTATTTATTTTGTTTTTTCATCTTTAGTGTTTAATCTTTATGCATTTATTTGTTTGTATTTAACACAGCCCTTGGATAAGCTCTAACATTTGATTCAAAATATACAAAAGAGGATTCGGGCCACATGTAGAGAAAAAAGTAATTTAAGGAATTTTTTTTTTTTTTTTTCTATTTCGTGATTAAAGTAGAAAATTTCGAGATTAAAGTCAAAATTTAAAAAAGTCAAAATTTCGACTCATTCATGTAAACTTTAATCTCGAAATTTTACTTTTTTCAATGTTGAAACTTCAACATCATTTACGACATTTTGTAATCTTGAAATGTCGACTTTAATCTTGAAATTTCAACTTTAATCTCCTTCCTGTAAATTGTTTATTTTCTCTTCATGTGGCCCTAATCCTCTTTAGTGACCATGTTTCGCCTTTGTAGTCTTTTAAATTGCTTTATGTGTTTCTATGTCTTTTTAAAGCTTTTTTTAATGCTCTGATGTTGAAAAGTGAAAATAAATTAATAAATAATACTTTGATTTAAATTTTTACAGGTGCTAAATAAGCATTAGAGTCACCAGTATATGAAAGCCAAGTAAAATTCAACTAGATAAAGACAGCTGGTGTTTAAAATCTTTGCACACATGTGACTAATATGAACTCTAACAGTCTATATTAGCTACTGTGAAGACATCTGGTTTACAAGTCATTAAGATTCCCTCAAAACCATCTTAAAGCAATAAATCTTCAACAGTAGGCAGAACTTACTGGAACCTTATGGCATGAAGCCTCTCTGGTGCGCTACTTCCCTGAATGAAGAGCTACTG